CATCGAACGGGGAAACATGACGAAAACACCGTCCCAAAAAGGGGTGGGAGGAACATCCACCCACAGGACAGAACCAACCGACTCAAAGGCCAAGGAACCGAGCCCGGGGAGGGGCCGACACCCAACAGCACGTACGGCGAGTGGGGAGGAAAGACCCCACTCCGCGTAACCACAAGCCCCGCCTAGAGAGGGATAAAAACCCCCCACGGGGTCCAACGGGGCCAAGGCCCCCAAGTCAGCCCCTCCCCAGCCCCGGGAACCTACACGACAGGCCCCGGGGCCGAGCCGTTCCCCCAAAGCCCCGGCCGTACCAAAAACCGGGGCAGCCGTGAAAACACTAAGGAAGGGAGCCCACTGGCAGACTCATACAACACGGCTGGAGGAACAGGCTCAAATGCCTCCGTCACTACCCCGGAAGGGGAATTCCCCGAGACTGCCCGATCTCAACACCATCAAAAACCCCGCCCCGAACCCACAGACGGTAAGGACCGGATGCAGGCAGGAAGGGTGAACCAGGGGAAAGACAAGGGGGCGTGGATGAAACCGAAGCAACCAATGGTTGGTGTTGTCGTCGTTGATCCTTCTCTATGGACAACCCAACCCACAACTCGGCAGAGTGCTTATACTAGGAGATCACCCTTGGCGCTTCTGGCTCTTGGAGAGGGGCTCAACGTCACACGTTTAGGGGATGCGGCTCCAACACTTAGCCTCGTTGTCACGTGCACACACCCACTCGAGCCGCTGTGACTCCCCACTCTCTCCTTATGAGATATGATCTCCTCAATCCCCTATGACTTACTAGTATTACCTCTTACCCTGTCCACAGCAGTGGTTCTTGGTTCTTTCTCTCTCTCTCTCCTTCTTTACTACTTCCTGGGAAGCCTCACTAGGACAAGGGCAAACACCGGCAAATTGGGATACTTTTACTGGACAAAGCACATACACGATACATACACACATATAATAATAATGAATCCTATACTCTATAATATTACAATCAGGTTGCACTCCAACACCATCAGAACTCTATGATCAGCTTATCAAGTGGTATCCTATCTCCTGGTTCACCACCTGATACTATTAACCTCCTCAAGTTGATCAAGCCTACATACACTGTTGCACTATCAGCAAGATAATGTATATATAGAAAACCAGCATGTCCTAACTGATTATTAAGACGTCTGGCAAACATCCTCTGGATGTTTCCTGCCAGCCTGCAGGCACATACTGCCTAAAATATACGATGATGTACTGTACATTTAAGAAACAAATCTGGGTCACAGGTCTGTGGAGTGTGGTTAGGCTTACGGAGTCAGCCGGTCCCTCCCCCACCACCGATACACCTCCCTCTCTCCCCCCACCCCAAACCCATACACACACACACACACTCAAAGGTCACGTGGTTCATGGTTCACTTCAACACCCATATATCGCTTCCTGCCTGCCTGCCTCCTTCCCAGCCTGCAAGCCTGCCTGCCTGCCTGCCTCCTTCCCAGCCTGCAAGCCTGCCTCCTTCCCAGCCTGCAAGCCTGCCTGCCTGCCTGCCTCCTTCCCAGCCTGCAAGCCTGCCTGCCTGCCTGCCTCCTTCCCAGCCTGCAAGCCTGCCTCCTTCCCAGCCTGCCTGCCTCCTTCCCAGCCTGCAAGCCTGCCTGCCTCCTTCCCAGCCTGCAAGCCTGCCTGCCTGCCTCCTTCCCAGCCTGCAAGCCTGCCTGCCTGCCTGCCTCCTTCCCAGCCTGCAAGCCTGCCTGCCTGCCTGCCTCCTTCCCAGCCTGCAAGCCTGCCTGCCTGCCTGCTCCTTCCCAGCCTGCCTGCCTGCCTGCCTGCCTCCTTCCCAGCCTGCCAGCCTGCTTCCTTTCCAGCCAGCCTGCCTCCCTCCCTGCCATCATGCTAACGGGTAGTGTGTGTTAGGCTTATCTTCGGGAATGAGCCGGTCTCGCCCCCACCACCAACAACCACCCGCCCCCCTACATCCCATCTCTCAAGGTCACGCGGTTCAACCGCGTGACTACCACTCACTCCCTGCTGCGCCTGCCTGCCTGCCTGTGCCTGCCTGCCTGTGCCTGCCTGCCTGTGCCTGCCTGCCTGTGCCTGCCTGCCTGTGCCTGCCAGCCTGCCTTTCCCTCCCTAATTCTCACTACTTCCATCCCTTCCTGCTTTGGAGCCAACATGGTGCACAGATGTTTCTTGATTGTGCAGATATGTAAAACAAAGCACAGAATGAACATTCCAGCCTTATGGCAATTCAAAATAATAGGAATAATAGGCCGTGAATCTGTGAAGTCACAGTGGGCAAACTGGACCATGAATGCAATAACATATATCAGTATAAATGTTCATTGATACACAACAATGATTAATCGATCACTGTCAGTCCTCGAGCACATACATCTGTAGGTAATCAAGCCTACGACTGCAACTCTAAGCTTCAGAATAAATCACTCCTTGACATAAGAATGCAAACAGTCACTCACCTCTCACTGCGTCTTGCACGCTAATGACAACCAAACACTATCAACTCCCTATAAGTAATCCACCAGAACTTCCCCTTCCACCTCTGGAAGTTCACTACCCTAATATCCTTAGGTTCTTCCGGGCTTCACTACCAGGATCCTCTGCAGCTCCTCCAGGCTGCTATCATGAAGTTTCCTTGAGCAACTACGGTGCTTCACCCTTCTGCTAGGGTCCTCCACAGCTCTCTTGGCTGCTACACCATGAAGTTTCCCCGAGCAACTGTGGTGCTTCTCCACCTCTACAGAAGCACGTGACACTCCTCTTCACTGCTGCTCCTCCTCACAGCTCGAGGTCCTCTGCTCCACTACCTTGGAGTCTCATCAGCTACTTCATCTGCTGGCTTCGAAGTTCTCAGCAACTTCTTCCCCAAAGACAAACCTGCAACCCATCGACACTCCAATAAAATGTTCCCCTTTAACACATAAACAAAAATAACCACACAATATGCTTGCCTCAAACCTCTATCTGTCCTCTACATACAGTGAGAGTGGACTCCCCCGTTTTGGGCGGGTCCATACTCCACCTCGCCTGGCGGCGGTCCTCACTCGCTGGGAGGGTCTTCCTCCATCAGGAGCCAGGCTCCCTCAGTCGTCCGCCAGCGCTCAGAGGGGGCGGACGTCGCTCCGTGTTCCTCCCTCTCCACTCTCTTATTTCAGGCTTTCTGCCTTATTAAAACATGTCTAACTTATAAAATAAACATCGCTACTGTCGCTGGGCACACGACCAACTACAAGCAATCACTATGAACTGGCGTATATCGTGCTTACCACAGGTCGTCTGGTCGAGGGCGCTTCTTCCTCTGACGAGGCTTGGTCAGGGCGCTCCACGGCCCACAATAATGCCTTCGGGCGGCTTAATATTCACTAATTATCGCCCACGACTTGAGACCACACGTCCCCAGATCGATTCCACAGCTGGTACGTCTGCACACTTCTCTTCTCTTCGAGATATATCACTAGGGGTTCCCTTCTGACGGGAGCTCAACGGAGCGCGGCTTCCCCCTGCGATGTCTGGCACTCAAGTGAGGTCAAGGTCCTCCGGAAGCGAGCCTCACGCCTCCAGCAAAATGTCCACATCTCCTCGCCAGTCATTTCTCTGTTTTCTTCTTCATTGCCCATAATCTCAAACTGTTATACATATCCAAGCAACTATTTTTACATATGGGTTATCACCTCAATATTTGCTAGACCTTCTAGTTAGGTCAGGCTTGCTGAATAACTCTCAAGAAGGGAGACTCGTTTCTCCTGCAGGCTGAGATCATAACAACATCCATCGGACCCGCGCGCCCCCAGGGGTTTCCCAGGGTCCCGAGCGTTTACTATAAGAGGACTCGCGCTCAGGTAATCCCAGGCAGGGTAGTGCTAACCGGCACCTACCAAAGCTACCAAACAACTTTCTAAGAGCTGAACCCCCGGGACGTGTACACTCATGGGGACCTAGCAGGGGGTACCACCAGAAAATACTCAGAACACAAGGGACACAAGGGGCAAGAAAGAAGGCAGACCCCCCCACCAGGTAGATAAACAAAAGAAAAAGAAAACCCCGCAAGAGGACAGCGTACCCAAGCGGAACAGAGCCGGCCGCTATGATTGGTAAAGACAAGCTGCACAGTACCCTGCGCCCCACCAGTGCAAAAACTGCCCCTTACTCTAAGGCGAACAAGGGAGACAGAACACCCGAGCACACAAAGAGCGGCCGAAAACCAAGCAGTAAACGGCCAAGCAGGGGCAGGACCCAAGGAACTTGTGGAAGGTGGCCCCAAGCCCCAAGGGCAGTACTTACAGGGCACCTAGGAAAGGGAACCCTAGGCGCATGCAGCCCGAGTACTGGAGAATCATTCCCGGCTCACGCACCACCTAGAAAACAGACACCACACTCTAGGTACAGTGCTGAAACAACCACTGGAGCCGGAGCACATAACCGTTGCCTATAGCATCAGCCGAAGAACTGATGGGTGGATAGCCGGCGTGGGAGGTCGGGGGCTCCCCCTTCCCCCTCCTGGGGAGGGGGGAGCTGCGCAGACAGCGGCGCGGTGATGTATGACGTCATACTAGTTTCCTTGTTTTCTGTTGAAGAGTTCTATCCACTAGTTTGGCTTTAGGTAGCAATTTTCACCAGAATAGGGGTTTGTTTTGGAATGCTTACCTTTCTGGATGCTTGACCCGGTCGATGGCAGACATAGAATGCTTCCAACCACACAGGGGTTTCTATAGGCCATTGCTCCCCTTGCCTCTCTGAGGGGGCCAGGTTCTGGCCGTGGTCCCCGGTAGGCCCTAGAACTCCATACACATGACTGATGCCAAAGTCTGACATTAGCATATCAGCCGGTGAAGCTCCGGGGAGCCGACAGGGCTCCCCCCAGAAAATACCCACTAACTGTAAAAAAATATTTTTAGTGTACTATATTTGTATGGTGAAGGTAGGAGTTATAGGATGCTAGGAATATCTCCCTTAATCACCTAAAGCAATCAAACCTTATCTTTTTCCAGAGCTCTGTGAACCCTTCTCTTCCACCTGAACTAGAAGAGTCAGAATGTGCAGTGTTGCGTGGGGATGCCATTGGAAACACAACATATACTCACCGCTGGGTCTTAAATACTCTCCTAAAAATTACACAGGTGAGCTTTGTATATTCAGTATAATACCTTGTACATATGTTGCAATATACAAAATAATATACCTTAAATATGCAAAAGCAAATTTTAGAAATAGGTGCAAGGGAGGAAGGGAAATTACAGATTTTTTGAGCTACTGCCCAGAGTGACATTTGATTCCATTGTCAACAGATGGCACTATTTGATAACCCTAGCAATTGATTGATGGTCAGAGTACTGTATCTGGGCAAACAGTTAATTTTATTAACTATTAATTTACATAACTTGGAAAGGTTTTTCTAGGCACGGCACATGGAGGGAAGTCATATCACAACAAAGACAGACCCTCTTATTTATTATCCCATTCCTCCTTTGTCCATGTGTTGCATGGCAGTGGACTATATGCGTTTATGATCATTAGTTTATCATCCTGATTGCAGATCTCTAGTGCTATTATGTCAACTTCTCGTGGATTGTCAATCATTATTTCATTTACCTTTAGATGTTCTTTCACCAGCACAGCAACACCACTGCTTTTCCTAGTTTTTCTGTCCCATCTGCAAACTGAGGACCCCCTTGGGAATATGACCTCATTTAAAATATCATCTTCAAGTTTTATCTCTGTGAGTGCAACTGTCTGGCATCTGCATCTGTATTACATCACCTAACTCCAGTATCTTTGATCTCACTCCATCTATGTTAGTGTATACAATTTTCAGGAACATGTTCCCTCTCTCCTAATTTTTCACTACCCCATTCTCTAGCAATTTTATTGGTTTGCCTTTTTGTACAATTTTACTGGTCTGCCTACCCCTATCACTTTGTAGAAAAAGAATTGATTTCTTTTTCATTCCTGCTCTCATTTAGACTTTTGCTTCTGAGGTTTAGTTTCAGCTTGTCTCTGTCTTCTCTTGAAAGATCTTGTCTTAATGACCATAATTTTCCTTCCTCATCCCTTTGTAATTTCCTAACATTCCTTAGTACTTCTTCCATCTGTTTACCACCATTTAGAGTGATCCTCAAAGGTCGATCTTTCCCTTTTACTACCTGCCAATTCTCCTGTAGTCACAGACATTCTCTATGGTTGTAAGACCTCCCATGAGCCCAACAATTTTATCTACTACTTTTGCTTCTTCTACAGCTCTTTCTAATCTAGATGTAATCTCCTTTTCTTTGCAACCAAGATTATTAGGGACTTACCTCGATCAACTGTGTTTTGCACCAATTTCGGGTTTGATGTGAATTTCTTTCTGACTTCCAGCCTAATGTTTGTTTTATCCTGGTTGCTGCAGTGTTTGGCCTCCTTTACTGCTTCTTCTATTTTTTCTTTCTCCTTGACTACTTGTGCATAGGTGAGTTGCATATCCTTCTTGCACTGTTCTATACCCTGTGTAACTTCCTCCATCTGTACTGACAAAAGCTGTTTTTCCTGTTGGATTTCCTTACCTAACCTATTGTAATCATTTATGTTTAAATTTGCTTTAACTTCTTCCAAAGCTATTTTCAAGAGTTTATTTTCCTCTTCCATGGCTTCACAATTTGTTTCCAACTGATTCTTTTCCTTGAGTAAGTCTTTCACTAACCCCTCAAGACCTAATACCTTGATACTCAAGTGGTCATTACTTTCTCTCAATTTGCTGATTATTTCTACATGATAGTTCAGAGTAATATTTGACTTTGCCAACTTGTTATGTAGACTGCTTATATTAATGCCTTCCTCATTGAAACCACCAAAATCTACCTCTATTTTGTTTTCCTCTTGCCGGCAGCCATCTTGAATTTCGTTCTGTACTGTGAACACTAGGGCAACTTTTTCTCATCCAATTTTTTCACTTCCCTTGGCACATTCGTGTTTTCTCAGCTATTTTTCCAAAGCACTACACTTTTATGTTCCTTGGGATACCACTCACTATCATCAACCTGTTCTACAATACTTAGCAATTGTGAAATATCTTGGAGCTCCTCTGATGCAGGTGTTGACACAAGGGGGGGGGGGTCACTTTCACATGTTTATTACTTGTGGATTACTCTATGTGAAATAATTTTTTTTTAATATCTTAAAAATCTAAAGCATATTGATAGTACTTCACAATGAAAACCACCTTGTTATTAAGATGACAAGATTTATGATATAATTTTGCCATTGTTAAGTGCATATATGTGTATGCAAATTATTGCCACCGAGTGGTCCGTCTAATTATCCAAAGCTACCCAAATCCTCCTAGCATTAGATGGACCCAATTTTGTTATAAAATTATATTATTTCAGAATAAAAATATGTTTTTTTCATGCTGTACATTCAGCACCAACATTATAGTGACTAAATATATCACAGTTCTTCATTACTTACATAATGCTAGGAAGCTTTGGGTAGCTTTGGGTAATTAAACAGACCCCCCACAAAGTGCACCACCATGAGATAAACTTCACTTTCTTACAAAATATTGATTGTTTTCACTTTTTAAATAATGCATAACTCTGTATAATAGAAGAAATGACAACTCCTGCATAAAAACATGAATATTTGTACTACAGTATACGAATTTGAAATATACAGTATGGCTCATTTTAGGCTCTACCACAATATCTGATGTCTGAGAAACCTTTGTATATTCAGTATAATACCTTGTACATATGTTGCAATATACAAAATAATATACCTTAAATATGCAAAAGCAAATTTTAGAAATAGGTGCAAGGGAGGAAGGGAAATTACAGATTTTTTGAGCTACTGCCCAGAGTGACATTTGATTCCATTGTCAACAGATGGCACTATTTGATAACCCTAGCAATTGATTGATGGTCAGAGTACTGTATCTGGGCAAACAGTTAATTTTATTAACTATTAATTTACATAACTTGGAAAGGTTTTTCTAGGCACGGCACATGGAGGGAAGTCATATCACAACAAAGACAGACCCTCTTATTTATTATCCCATTCCTCCTTTGTCCATGTGTTGCATGGCAGTGGACTATATGCGTTTATGATCATTAGTTTATCATCCTGATTGCAGATCTCTAGTGCTATTATGTCAACTTCTCGTGGATTGTCAATCATTATTTCATTTACCTTTAGATGTTCTTTCACCAGCACAGCAACACCACTGCTTTTCCTAGTTTTTCTGTCCCATCTGCAAACTGAGGACCCCCTTGGGAATATGACCTCATTTAAAATATCATCTTCAAGTTTTATCTCTGTGAGTGCAACTGTCTGGCATCTGCATCTGTATTACATCACCTAACTCCAGTATCTTTGATCTCACTCCATCTATGTTAGTGTATACAATTTTCAGGAACATGTTCCCTCTCTCCTAATTTTTCACTACCCCATTCTCTAGCAATTTTATTGGTTTGCCTTTTTGTACAATTTTACTGGTCTGCCTACCCCTATCACTTTGTAGAAAAAGAATTGATTTCTTTTTCATTCCTGCTCTCATTTAGACTTTTGCTTCTGAGGTTTAGTTTCAGCTTGTCTCTGTCTTCTCTTGAAAGATCTTGTCTTAATGACCATAATTTTCCTTCCTCATCCCTTTGTAATTTCCTAACATTCCTTAGTACTTCCTCCATCTGTTTACCACCATTTAGAGTGATCCTCAAAGGTCGATCTTTCCCTTTTACTACCTGCCAATTCTCCTGTAGTCACAGACATTCTCTATGGTTGTAAGACCTTCCATGAGCCCAACAATTTTATCTACTACTTTTGCTTCTTCTACAGCTCTTTCTAATCTAGATGTAATCTCCTTTTCTTTGCAACCAAGATTATTAGGGACTTACCTCGATCAACTGTGTTTTGCACCAATTTCGGGTTTGATGTGAATTTCTTTCTGACTTCCAGCCTAATGTTTGTTTTATCCTGGTTGCTGCAGTGTTTGGCCTCCTTTACTGCTTCTTCTATTTTTTCTTTCTCCTTGACTACTTGTGCATAGGTGAGTTGCATATCCTTCTTGCACTGTTCTATACCCTGTGTAACTTCCTCCATCTGTACTGACAAAAGCTGTTTTTCCTGTTGGATTTCCTTACCTAACCTATTGTAATCATTTATGTTTAAATTTGCTTTAACTTCTTCCAAAGCTATTTTCAAGAGTTTATTTTCCTCTTCCATGGCTTCACAATTTGTTTCCAACTGATTCTTTTCCTTGAGTAAGTCTTTCACTAACCCCTCAAGACCTAATACCTTGATACTCAAGTGGTCATTACTTTCTCTCAATTTGCTGATTATTTCTACATGATAGTTCAGAGTAATATTTGACTTTGCCAACTTGTTATGTAGACTGCTTATATTAATGCCTTCCTCATTGAAACCACCAAAATCTACCTCTATTTTGTTTTCCTCTTGCCGGCAGCCATCTTGAATTTCGTTCTGTACTGTGAACACTAGGGCAACTTTTTCTCATCCAATTTTTTCACTTCCCTTGGCACATTCGTGTTTTCTCAGCTATTTTTCCAAAGCACTACACTTTTATGTTCCTTGGGATACCACTCACTATCATCAACCTGTTCTACAATACTTAGCAATTGTGAAATATCTTGGAGCTCCTCTGATGCAGGTGTTGACACAAGGGGGGGGGGGGTCACTTTCACATGTTTATTACTTGTGGATTACTCTATGTGAAATAATTTTTTTTTAATATCTTAAAAATCTAAAGCATATTGATAGTACTTCACAATGAAAACCACCTTGTTATTAAGATGACAAGATTTATGATATAATTTTGCCATTGTTAAGTGCATATATGTGTATGCAAATTATTGCCACCGAGTGGTCCGTCTAATTATCCAAAGCTACCCAAATCCTCCTAGCATTAGATGGACCCAATTTTGTTATAAAATTATATTATTTCAGAATAAAAATATGTTTTTTTCATGCTGTACATTCAGCACCAACATTATAGTGACTAAATATATCACAGTTCTTCATTACTTACATAATGCTAGGAAGCTTTGGGTAGCTTTGGGTAATTAAACAGACCCCCCACAAAGTGCACCACCATGAGATAAACTTCACTTTCTTACAAAATATTGATTGTTTTCACTTTTTAAATAATGCATAACTCTGTATAATAGAAGAAATGACAACTCCTGCATAAAAACATGAATATTTGTACTACAGTATACGAATTTGAAATATACAGTATGGCTCATTTTAGGCTCTACCACAATATCTGATGTCTGAGAAACCCGACGAAGAAACCATGAGCACTTGCACAGAAGCTGCGAATGATGAAGTTAGTATGCTAACCTCGGAAATACAGGTAAGTCTATTGTGTTCTCAAATTGTTCTTTGCAGTGGGTGTGAAGACTAATTCAAAAATATGTTGAGGGTCAGGAAGGTTATTGGACTGAATGCAAGCTATGAAACATTAGCTCTCCATGACAAAAGCAAAACTTATTTTTATGTATTTTTTTTATGTCAAACAGTGAATAATATTGAGTAGAAAATAATCAGCTACTGTTTTGTTACAAGTGTTAAAAAAACTTGCTAACTGTGCAAAATAAACAGATTGCCCCAGGCTATGATGCTGTGTACATCACTGGTAAACATCTAAAATCCCTATGCTTATAAGGTTCATTGTTTTTTGTCACTATTACCACACCTGCTCTTAATATTTTTGTGTTACAAACTCTATGATATGCTACTTTGCTTTTTTATGTTAGAAACAATACATGTACCAATTTCATACTCATTTGACTACTGCTTTCCTCCCCTAACATGTAGGTTTTCTGTAATCAGTACAATGGAATTTTGGTTGTGTAACGCAGCTTGCAGGAAGAGTATAAAATACATGATTAACAAATACTATAGAGGTTTTCAAAGAGTTACATTTCCTTAGCCTGATGAAGAAGATACAACAAAAAAGAATGACAGTATACTAGAGCTGGCAGAAGATGTGGAGAATGCTGCATGCCAGCTGTGGGACATGACTGCAGAGCCAGATGTTGTGCATTATCTTTTGAGTTTAAGCGTTGTGGATATTTTGCATTTGGCAAAGGATGTCATCACATTGTCTCGTGCACCTAGACTTACCGTAAGTATTTAGTGTGTTTCCTTTCAGGTTACCATACTGTTTGATAGATGCTGAGGAATGTAATGTAATATTTGTAGAGAAGGAAAACATGTACTGTACTAACAAAATCCAAACTAGGTGTTAGATTAAGGAAATTGAGTGACACTAAAGAGGAGTATATCCTACATATGACAAGTCCCAAGAGGAGAGAAACTACATACTCCACTCCTTTTCAAGTTTTTCTTTGCTGTATTTGTTTGTTACTTTTCTGGCCATGGGATTCCCTTGCTCATCGTTATCTTTTGTTAAAATATGGTTAGAGATTATAGTCTTATGCTAGAGTGTCTGACTTGGCCACCAGGCTGCTGCTATTCATTAATGTTGGGCAAGTCATGGCCATAAGTAGACCTATTCATGGAAGGCCCCTCAGGATTTTTACCCAACTGGTCAGGGGGGTTGGGGGGGGTTCTTCAGTAGCTTTGCCTATGGGGGAATTAGTGACTTGGTCTTCCTCAGAAAGTGGCTCCCAATCATTTTGCTTTCCAGCTAGCCAGGGATGGCATATTGACAGTGCTTGGGGTCTTTTAACTCCTTATCACTGAACTGAAATCCTAGCTGTAGCCTTCACAATGTGTTAACTGGTTACAACTAGTATGAAGTAATAGGAAGGTCTCCCTTTTCCTCCTGGAGAAGTCTCTCTCCTCAGGCTACTTCCTATTTTTTTTTTGCTTGTTCTTGGGAAGTCTCCCCTATTGTTTTGGAAGGTTGCAGTCTCCCTGGCCTGGTAGACTATGCATATGTAATGTATCCTCTGTATTGTCTGGCTGAAGATGTTTCTCTACAAATATGCTTGTTGCTAGTTCAGGGACTGGTACTCGTAAGCACCCCCTGGACATGCCAAATAAAAACTACTGCTGGCTCCTTGCCTCAAATACTTATCAATGCACAGGCAGCTCCTTGTCTTATGTGGCACTGATCTTGGAACAGGATTCTTTGATGTTGGATGTGCTGTATTTCATTTAGAACCAGTGGAAAACATGTAACACACGGTCTAGATGCTTTTGGCAGTCCTCCAGAAACTGGCTCGCATGTTAGCAGCCTCTGCTGTGGCCAGTTCAGCCCTTGTGCCCAGCCCTATTCTTCAGTTAACCTGTGTCTAGAGACATCGTTCCACTGTTATCTGCTTGCCTCTTGACTCTCATTGCTGGACTGTTTGTTTGTCATTCCTTGTCTTTTAGTACAATGCACTCTGGTGATTATTTCCCATGGCTTCAAGGAGTGGTGCAGCTTTGTCTGCTACTGGCTAACATGCAGTGTACTTTCCAGTACCTCACTAGGGTTTCTGTCCTGCTCTGCCAGTGGCAGGCTTTCATCTACATGTCAGTCTTCTTCTAGTGAGGCCTTGTACCTACTAGGGGGTACGGCAGCTGTTGCTCCAGCGTCTTTCTTTTCACCACACTTTCACTGGCTGTCGAGAATATTGTTTTCTGTGTACTGTATATGAAAGCATCTTTCTGACGAGTACACTCAAGTACTGGGGTACTCCAATTATCACTCTTCCGTTTCTTTGTCTTGCCTGTGCTTCCTTTCCCTGTGCTAGTGGGATTTTGTGGTGCTGTTATTACTACTAACTGTTGGTAGTTGGGAATAGTAACCATGCGAGTCATTCAAGTGTCATCGTCACCACCATTTCCCTCTTCCATGAGGCAAGAGAGTGGGGACAGTTTGAAAGTAGTATGTCTACTTACCCTGACTATTACAGTACAGTATATCCTCAACAGGTGTCAGTAGGATCATGCCCTATGGAGCAATCAAGTGTACTGTTCAGGAAAGTAATTTTCATATTTAGTACTGTATGTATAGTTGAAGCCTGAGTTGTCTCACATACAATATGTCATATCTGGATAAATTTCTCCTGCTCATGTGAAATTGGGAAATGGTGTAATTATTAAATACAATTTTTTTTGTTTACAATTATAACCTTTTCAATGCAGGAGGTTGTAGTGGGTGTTGTAGCCAACCTCTGCTGCCAGGCTGTTGGCTGTGAGAAAGTTATTGGTCACCATTCACTTCTCAACTCGTGTTTGACTCTTCTGCACACAACAGATGATGTACCTACCCTTATTGAAGCTTTTAGACTGTTGAGACTCTTGCTTTGGCACTTAACGTACCGTGTGGCACCTCAAGATCGTGCACTGAATCCAGTCATCCTTGCCCTCAAGAATCACGAGTCACTCAAAGAGACACTAGTATTTATGTTAAAGAACAGCCTCAGTGGTAAGTAGCTAAATCCATTCTTTGGAAGTTTAAAGTATATAGTTTAATACTTGTATTGTAAATTATGTTGCCCATTTGAGAGAAGTGTCTGTCTTCTATACTATATATATATACATCCATCTTCTATATTCTATACTATACTATACTAAAAAATAAAGTACTATACTATATATATCTTTTTTTTTTTTTTTTTATGTATCCACTGATAGTCTACCAAAACAAGGATGATGCCATTGTAGATTAACAATTGTACAGCTCATAGTTTTTAGTGTATCTTAGCATTGACTCCCACTTTTATGTGGTCATAATTTGCATGGCCCAGATCTGTTTGTGTGTTTTGACTAGCAATGCAAATAATTAATGATAAATTTGAGCCAATGAAAGACTCGCGTTATTCTGAGAATGGGTTTTCCAAACATGCTCTCATAAATATGGGTTTAAAAAGGCTGTAGATATCTCTCTTCTGCCATGGGGATCAAACCCAGGACCTTGGTTTATACTTGTTAAAGATAAGACAATGTTAAATTTCTTTGACTCTAGGGTCACTTCAAGTCAACTGTAGAACAATAGCTAGATAGTCAATTGGTTCATGAAATGTAACTGTCTTAGATCACATGAAACACAATGGTCTGCAGTAAAAATATTTCTCTGGGAAAAGCTGGTCAAAGATTTTTATCAGGAAAGACAATGGATAAGCCAATTCATCAGTGCAAGTGTATTTCAATTGCACTCACTTAAGATATTCTAATCAGTACACATTGTTTATGTGCTTCAAAAGTCTCTTAATTCTTAAAAGTGGCTAAAATATCTAGGTATGTAAACCTACCTTTCATTGCCATGATAGCTAGAGAAAAAACATTTAGGATTAGAAACAAGGATTTATATGTACTGTACTGTATTAAATTCTCTTTTGTTTCACAGACTTGTTCCTGAGTGCTCTCTCTCAGTTCCTTGAGGCACTAATGTATATCTGGCTTCCTGATGATAAGTGCTACATGGCTGCCTACTACTCGGAATCAGGTTAGTATTATGTTTTATCAGCAATTGTGGTTTTGCTATTTAATAATAATATATAAACCACAAACAAATTTGACTAATTGAAATTATTAGTTCTCCCTAACTAATATACTTATGGTTTACAATATTTTTTTCTTCTGGTTCTTACTCAATGACCCTAATCAACATCTCAAGGAAAACTTCATTGTACTTATTTAAAACTGCCATCACTTGGGCCAAATATTGCATTTGTCTCCCCACTAAACAGAAGCCTGTTGCCTTCTATAAGGGAAGGAGACAAATGCAATTTCAAAAAGGTAGAGGATAACAGAAGTGAATGTGATCAGATGTACACATGGAAATTACCAGGGACTGCCCACCTGCAGACTAGGCAGACCATAAAAAGGCAGAATAAGCAATTTGGAAAACTCCTTAGCTACTGAAAAAGCAAAGGTCACATGCAGGGAAGCAAGGTAAAAAAAAAAATCAAAAGTTACTGTGAAAGACAAAATTACATGACGGAACTAGATGTAGCTAAAGCAGCAGGACTGGACCAGGTATCACTGTGGTTACTGAAAGAGGCGGCAGGGATTCTGGATTACCCACTTCAGTAACCAGAGCTGTCAACATAACACCAGAGACTGGTGAGCTCCAGGTAATTTAGAAAAGACAAATGTAGCTCCAGCATTTGAGAAAGGGGACAGACACAAAGCATTAAACTATAGACAATTGTCACTAACATGCATTCCATGTAAAATTCTGGTAATAGACATCAGGAAAAAGAATAGTGGAACACCTTAGAGAAAGGAAACAGAGGGGAATATGATGGACACACAAGATACTGTGGGGAACTGAAAACAGCTTACTTAAATTGAGAGGAAGTAGAACAAGGTGACATTAGTGAAAACTAGAAACACAATCGTGTCAGATGTAAAGAAATTCTTCATTGAAAGAAGTTGTCAAAGGCATTTTCATCCTCAACTTAAGAAAAAATATTACACAGAAGAATATGAAGAGCTTTAACTAGTGTGTCAGGTATAAAAGCGCAAAAGCCTGATCATAAATGGCAAGATCCTGTTTTACCATAGCCACTGACAGGAAAACATTGATAGGTAAACACTATTATCAATTAGCAGAGCACTCTTTTTGCAGTCTCTGCAATAAAGGAACACTTTTAAAGGATTGAGTGTAAATGAGCAGGATTTTATTAGTGTACCAGTCCTACACACATTTAAAAAAAAAAAAAGATTCATGTTTTACTAGTGTGAAATGTCCGTTGACCCTGACTGCATAGTTTTGTCCCTGGACCTTGCCTAAGAGAGGATTAAAGTGTTGCAGACCAAAAAGACATTCAAATTTGAATGTAATTTACTTGTTTTATCATGAAATGACTATTTATCATGCATGTAATGTAGCTTTTCCTTACTACTTTTAACATTGTCAATGTTTCAGGACTGGTTGAAGGTGTTGTTGAGGTAATGAGACATTTCTTAAAGGAATGGAAAAAAAGTGGTAGCCAAGAACAGCCAGTTGTTGTTCATCAAGGAATTCTCATCTTGTACAGCTTTGTGGCCACACCTGCAGCACATATTATTAGTGAGTTCTACAGCCTTTACTGGTGATGTCTTTCACACTCAGTACATAACACGCAGCGTAGCTACTGCATGTTTTGTACTGAAGCTGCACTGAGTAGGACTTGGAATTACTGTGTGTATGATATTTGACTCCTTTATATACTACAGTGGCTACCGCAATACGTACTGTACAACAACCTTTAATGCATTTCTGCATATTCCTCCATTTTAATGTTAAACACTGTGCACACACATTTTCCCACCCAGATCTCATTCATTACCTTCAATCTCTTGTATTTGGTTGTGAAAATGTTAACTTTTCTTTCATTGTGCATCATTTATACATACAGGTAGCTGTTTTGCATCAATACTACGTCTTATAGGTTGTTCATTTATTTATTCCTCAACTAAGTGACAATTCCACTTTGTTAATAATCATAGCCTTGGAAACAGGTCCTCTTATATTGCTTGGATATCCTTGACACCTCCCAGTTGTCTGATCCCTTGTATTTTATTGTTAGGGTAGGGTATTATTTTGTTAGTTGTATCTTTCCAGTAGTTGGTTTATCTGCGTTCCTCTTGTATGATCTTTTCTTGGAGCTCTTCTTGGTGTTAGGGTTTAGGGCATTTGTATCCATTATTATCGCCCTTTTATCAGTATTCTATTTACTATCTTGTGTCAATGTGGGTTTGTGCCTGAAGCTTGCGTGTTTCACTGGGTGTAGCCTTCTTGATTTCCCTCCTTTTTTGGGTGTTGGGCACTTCTCTGTCCTCTGACTGCTATGCTGTAAATCTTTTGCATGATGACAGCTCGGGAAAAATGTTCAGTTTTTCTCTTGCTCCAGAGCCTGGCTTTATATTTTGGTAACATTATTTTTATTCACATTTTTTCTTTCTTTTCTTAAATTTAATATTAAGACCTCTTGGTCAAAGTTCTATTGGTAATAATTTTTTGTTTTACCGTACTTTTATTAGCCAAACATGCTATGTTTCAGGGTTTCCAAATATTTTCTGAGCTAAGGCCCCACAGCTGCTCCATGAACCAAGGACCCATATAGCCTATCCCATATCACGGAGAAAAAACATTTTAATGCTTCTTGCAACAAACATTTGATTCATAAGTCTACTACTGAGTAGACTGCTAGCCACTAGAGGGCAACAAGCTATATATCAATAGGGTAATCAATAGTAGTAGTCAGCAGCCCTCATTTACTGCCTGGCATTCACCTGCATGATATGCATCCTTTCAGTAAAGTTTTCCCACCTGGTTGTTCTAAGTCTCTACATAGGGATTTCCATGCTTTGGTACTTCCTTCACCAATATAGTTACCCAGTCATTTGCATATGTCAGGATTTAGTTATCCACTTTGAACAAAACCTCGAATGCTGATACTGATTGTTTAAAGCCATCTGGTTTCAGAGCCATTTGGCATAACTTTCAGCACATTTCCTCTCAAGTGGATTCACTACCTTAGCAGTGCCTTGAATCCTTGGTGCTGGGCTCACTGTTACATATATGGGTACGTGTAAAACCATAATCTTTTGATTCTATGCTTTTCCTTCAAGTTAACTTGTTGAGTATATATTTGTTTATTTTGGGCACAGGTGTCAAGTTTTTTTTTTTACCCTGATGCCAACTCTTCCTCTTCAATTCTTTGTCAATTGGAGGATTATCATTCTTTTCGCAAGTATGTAACCATTATCTAACGTTGAAGATAAGTGTGTTTGAGCCTCAATCCCACTATGGTGCTGCTGCTTGATTAAGGATTTGAGCACTTGAGTATAGGTGGTGGTGGTCCACACCATTAGATGATGTGGGTTCATAGCAGCCTCCACTCTGCTACAAAGAGGATATTGAGTTAGTACTCAACACTTGTGTTTGTTTGTCTTGCCCCTGAGAGGCTCATAAGGGTACTTTTCTTCCTCAGTACCACTGGCTGACCCTTCCTGTAGGAACACACTGTCAGCCAGCCTCCTATACTTGTTCCAGACATTACACACTTTGACTCCTGGCTCTTCAGGGTAACACAGCTACTTGACCTGCACATAAATCTCATTTGTTAATATCAGTTTCTTATTCTGTTTTGAATCTTGACGTTTAACCTTTATGCAAAATTGCCTCTTTGTAATTATAAATGGCACATTTTATATCTTCAGGTAGTTTTGATCAGTACGAGTCTCTCCTCGAGCCAATCTTAGTAAGCTATGTAGAACACTTAGCCAAGGTGGAAAATGTAGAGGTACTTTTGGATGGAGAGAATGCAGAGAGACTGACATATGCCTTGGGCCTCTACGAGTTACTTGTGCCAACCATGCGACACCCAAATATACTGCTTACTGTGGGGAAACTGTTGGCCCTCACCCATGGAGCTAGTCATCACTACACTGCCATTCAGAATCAGGTATGACCACAATTAGAATACAGTATTACATAGCTAATTGCTGTGAAACCTTTAAATGTAATTCATTTTAATGATATCCACTGTTACTTAAAATGTTATATATAACTATGACAATTTCATTTGATTATGGATAGTATTCAGTAACAGGTAAAAGATGTGTGACAATCAGAATCTACAGAATTGACATTACAGGATCTTTAGAGCCCCACATTTTAAGAGACTTTGAATGCAATATAGGCCTGAAATATGTCTTCTTTGTTTTGCATGTTTCAATAATATATTATAACATTTATTTGCAGACTTTGCAAGAAGCAGGAATCCAAGACAAAGATAAGATTCATAGTTTAAAAATGCGTCGAAGGAGTAAGAGCAGGAGGAGTAGAAGCTCAAGTGGTGAAATTATGGAAACCGAGTTTCCTGGAGCAATGAAAAAGAAGGAAAGAGAATCAGAACAAGAAGTTATAGTTAGCAGTGTTTCCACTAAAGAGACTGAGTGTAAAGAAGTAACTCAGAGTACTTCACAGAATTTAAAAAGTGTAAACTTGGTTGACTCTACAAATCCAAGTGAGAACTGTGAACGTGCCTTATTTGAAAAGAATGCAGATAAGGAAATTAAAAGTTCTAGCAGCAGTTTAGATTTATGGATCTGGAATAAATTCATTTATAAAGATGTTCCTGACAAGAAAAAGAGAAGTGCAAAACTGAAGAACACAGTCGAGAGCTTGACTGATTATTGTGTTCGAGTGGTTCGTTGCTGCCCTGACCTGTGTGCTGTGTTGACAGCCCTTAATGAGTGTCATGTTCATGAAGTACAGCTGTTCTTTAGAGCTGTGCGTTCTCGAGAGCCTAAACTTGTTGGCCAACTTCAAGAGCAGTTGTTGGATACAGGCTCTCACAATCGCCTTGTAACCATATTATCCGACATGTACACATGACAAAATTTTAATCTTTAATTTATGTAATGGATTATTACAAATAAATTAGTAGTACTATATGATAATATGCATATACATATATCATTGTACTACATTGTACTACTTCCTTACTCTACATTCTCCCATCCAAACACCTTGATTCTAGTTGTGAGTGGATATTTAATGGTCAAATATTTGGTGGAATTCCAACCCCCCCTCCCCCTCAGGCACAAAAAATACTAATTTTATGTACTGTACATAATACATTATTGCATCACTAGATACTTTAAACAAAACACTACAGAATATTGGTGTTTTGGTCTCACTAAACTACACATAGGGAGCGTATTCTCAAACAAATACAGGGAAATATTCGAATAGTTGAGGTTCGTTACAAAGGTTGGGGAGTATACGTTGGTATACTTGTACAGGCAGATCCCCAACTATGAATGAGTTACATTCTGAGACTTGTGTTTGTAAAGCATTTGTTTGGAACATGGATCGAGATTTTCCCATAGGCGCAATACTATAAATGGAATATGCGTTCCCAGGCCAACAAAAATCCTCACAAAATCAACATGTTTGGGACATTTAATATAAAAAAAACATACATTATTTACCTTGAATCATGGAGTTATCTTGCTTGTCAAAGTTAGCTGTTTCTGAAGAGTGAAGTGGTATACCTACATGAATAAATAAATTAAAGTACATGTGCACTGCATTGGTGGTCTGCCATTTTGTAATTGACCTCATGAGTAAATGCCTCCCCAACCTCCTCCTATCTCCATCCCAGGGTCTCACCCCACCAACAGAGTAAACACGATCAAATTATGTGCGTGTGTCACTGAGGACTTTAGGTCACTGATGGGAGTGTATCACACACACACACACCTACACCCCCCATGCAACCACTCACCACCACAAAAAAAAAAAAAAAAAAAAAAGACAATCTAAAAAAAAAAAAAAATTCTATGGGTGGTCCTGGATACTTTAATCCTGGATACTTTAATCCTGGATCCTCAACTGTCACTTGAGGATCACACAAAAAACATTGTGAGAGGAGCATATGCTACACTTTCCAACTTCTGAATTGCTTTTAAACACATAGATGGTGAAATATTGAAGGAATTGTTCATGACTTTCAAGGAGACTAAAATTGGGGTATGCAGCAGTTTTATGGTGTCCACATCTCAAGCAGCATACAGTATCAATAAACTGGAAAGTGTGTAAAAACATGGTATTAAATGGTTTCTGAAATTGAAAAACAAGACCTATGAGAAGAAAAAAGCGGTGACATGAACACTATGTACTGTTCAAAATAGTAATAGAAATTGCTAAAGAAATTCTTAAAACTCGGCACTTAAAAGAATAAGGGGTCAAAGATTCAGCTAAGAAAACAATGGTGCCAAAAAATACCAGAACGTTCTCCTTTGCAGGAATGGTAGACAGTTGGAACAAGTCCGAGTGTTAAGGGAGAAGGCGGTGGCAAAATAGTCAGTAGTTTCTAAGCGTTATATGACAGAGTACAGTACTGGGGAGACGGGCCACCTCGAGTGTGGGTCTCATCCTGTAACTACCTTACGGTTAGGTAAGGTAGTTACAGGATACTTAGGTAATTACATGGTACTAAATAATCCAACTAATTCTAGTAAGTGGCCCCCAGGCCTTCATTCCAACATAAATCGGTTGACTCGAGGTTTAGATCATGCTCGCTGACTGCGGCTGTTGGCATTTTATAATATTTATTATAAAACCACTGATTAAACAAAGCATTTTGGCAAAGTCCAAAGTTATAATTGGAACTAAATCGTAAAAGTTTGTAAACTTTTATGGATAAATGAGGTTACACACGTGTATATTATATAAAATTTTAGTTCAAAGCTATTCTTTCACTTAGCTAATACACTTCAATTTTAAGTACTTTATTTATATATATATATATATATATATATATATATATATATATATATATACATATATTATATATACATATATTATATATACATATATATATATATATATATATATATATATATATATATATATATATATATATATATATATATATATATATATATATATATATATATATATAGTATATTTTGGTAGCAGTCTTTCCTGTAGACATATATTATTAAATATGACCGAAAAAGTAAGATTAATAATTCTAACACGAATTTTCTCAATCTTTCGTACATTACGCTTCACTGTTGGAGGTAAATAAAAAATCACTTCTCCAAAATTCATTTTTATTTCTAGTCTGACGCGACACGGGCGCGTTTCGTAAAACTTATTACATTTTCAAAGACTTCACAAATACACAACTGATTAGAACTTACGTATCTCCGATTTTATATCTACATTTGAGTGAGGTGGGAGGGGTGATGTGGCATTAACACAAGACAGAACAAGAGGTGATATTAATAGGGTATTAAAAGTATCAACACAAGACAGAACACAACCAATGGGTATTGAATAGAAGTGTTTGTAGAAAGCCTATTGGTCCATATTTCTTGATGCTTCTATGTTGGAGCGGAGTCTTGAGGTGGGTAGAATATAGTTGTGCAATAATTGGCTGTTGATTGCTGGTGTTGACTTCTTGATGTGTAGTGCCTCGCAAACGTCAAGCCGCCTGCTATCGCTGTATCTATCGATGATTTCTGTGTTTACTAGGATTTCTCTGGCGATGGTTTGGTTGTGGGAAGAGATTATATGTTCCTTAGTGGAGCCCTGTTGCTTATGCATCGTTAAACGCCTAGAAAGAGATGTTGTTGTCTTGCCTATATACTGGTTTTTTTGGAGCTTACAGTCCCCAAGTGGGCATTTGAAGGCATAGACGACGTTAGTCTCTTTTAAAGCGTTCTGTTTTGTGTCTGGAGAGTTTCTCATGAGTAGGCTGGCCGTTTTTCTGGTTTTATAGTAAATCGTCAGTTGTATCCTCTGATTTTTGTCTGTAGGGATAACGTTTCTATTAACAATATCTTTCAGGACCCTTTCCTCCGTTTTATGAGCTGTGGAAAAGAAGTTCCTGTAAAATAGTCTAATAGGGGGTATAGGTGTTGTGTTAGTTGTCTCTTCAGAGGTTGCATGGCTCTGTAGGGTAAGGCAGGTCCTAGTCAATAACGGCTTCTCCAATGGTTTCATCGAAGACATCATAAGAAGGAAAGTGAAAAGCCATGCAACCTCTGAAGAGACAACTAACACAACACCTATACCCCCTATTAGACTATTTTACAGGAACTTCTTTTGCATAACGATGCATAAGCAACAGGGGCTCCATTAAGGAACATATAATCTCTTCCCACAACCAAACCATCGCCAGAGAAATCCTAGTAAACAACACAGAAATCATCGATAGATACAGCGATAGCAGGCGGCTTGACGTTTGCGAGGCACTACACATCAAGAAGTCAACACCAGCAATCAACAGCCAATTATTGCACAACTATATTCTACCCACCTCAAGACTCCGCTCCAATATAGAAGCATCAAGAAATATGGACCAATAGGCTTTCTACAAACACTTCTATTCAATACCCATTGTTTGTGTTCTGTCTTGTGTTGATACTTTTAATACCCTATTAATATCCCCTCTTGTTCTGTCTTGTGTTAATGCCACATCACCCCTCCCACCTCACTCAAATGTAGATATAAAATCGGAGATACGTAAGTTCTAATCAGTTGTGTATTTGTGAAGTCTTTGAAAATGTAATAAGTTTTACGAAACGCGCCCGTGTCGCGTCAGACTAGAAATAAAAATGAATTTTGGAGAAGTGATTTTTTATTTACCTCCAACAGTGAAGCGTAATGTACGAAAGATTGAGAAAATTCGTGTTAGAATTATTAATCTTACTTTTTCGGTCATATTTAATAATATATATATATATATATATATATATATATATATATATATATATATATATATATATATATATATATATATATATATATATATATAAAATACATTAAAAGGTGAAATTATATACAGTATTGTATATCATTGAAATTAAAGTTGAAAGATTATATAATATTAAATACATATGTAATATTTTAATTACAATTTACAAAGTACTGTACAGTAGATATAGATTTACTACAGAATTAAAATTCCTAGAGTTATGTTATATAAGGAGCTGTATCTCCATTAAAATATGTACTTATAGACAAGGTCTACAGTGTGTGGTTTTGCTGGAATGCACTGTAATGGTTTTAAATATTTAAACAGTTTTTACTTTAGAGAGTTTAGGCTATTTTGAGGTTTCTTTTAAAATGATTAAATACTGTATAGGCTTTGACTTCTGGTAAGCATCCATATTTTGTGCCCTTCTGAATTCTGAAGAGATTCAAAAGATTTCTCGGGTTGAGCATGTGATGCAAATTATTATTTAGGATCCTATAGATGAAGAATGCACTGGAAAATGTGGGAAGGGAATGTACATTTAATAGTTTGAGATGTGAATAATGGTGTATGTGGTCTCAAGTTGGAGTTATGAAGTTGGTTTATATAAAAACATTAAACTTACTAAAATACAAACAGATTTATTGAAAACTAGGTTAACCTTTTTGCTACATACATCATTTTTTCAGCCTAATTCTTACCAAACGTCAAAATGTAGATGAAAAAGATTTTTGAAAACGAAAAGACGAATACAAAACAATTCAAGTCGATGTGTTTCAAATATATCGAATATTCTGCAATTATGAATACAACATAAGCATACTTATTACTGATCCTTATGTACTGTATTTTAGTAGAAAAATACAACATAAAATTAATTCTGCCATCTTATTTTTCCTACAGTAATTTGTGTTCACTGATCAATGTTTTATAATTGTTTGACAATTGATGACATCCAATGGTCCAATGGTAAATATGTTTGTCAGTGCAGTTTATTATTGGGTGAAACTACCCATTTCTCTTTTGATCTTGTATTACTGAATAGCACCAGTACAGTAATCTGAGAAAGGAATTGTGAACGAAAGCTAGAGGTACTCTTTGCCATTTCACTGGAGTCTATACAAACATGCCTTGGACCTAGCAAAACTTCTCTTGATTGTTTACTAAGCATATAGAGTGGAACCTCGATAATATACTGAAACATTTTCCCATAAGAAATAATGTAAATTGAATTAATCCGTTGCACACACCCAAAACTATTAACGTAAAAACACATTTAATACAGAATACTACTCATATTTTTTACTATACCTTCACTGTCGAGGGCTCTTGTTGGCGTATGAAAGACGGCGAGGAGGTGGGGGGAGGAGTTCCCTTCCATTATATTATCACGCAGTGATGACATTTCTGGAGTACTCTCTCTCTTACGTTTTGCAGGCATACCACTAGGACCTGGTTGTGGCTCACTACTTGCTTGCCTTACTAAGAATGTCTATAGACACTTGTTTTTCTCTACGTTTTAACACTTGTCTGTAGCGAGACATCACATTGTCATTAAAATGGTTAATGCAAAGGCCTGCTACAACTTTTTGCAGTCTTTTCAGCAAAACTTTGCAGTTCTTTCCATACTGCACATATTTTCCTCAACTATTTTCTTTGGTTGAACTTTATTACTGAATTGTTTGGGAAATATAAGAACTTTTATATTCAGAAACAAAAAAGCAGAAAACAATTAAATTTTTCACAAAGAATTCAGGTGTGGTCATCATTAGGAGGGATACACTGGTAAACTGAGCATACCTCGCCCCGCACCTGACCCATACAAGTATCGATAAACGAGTCAAACTTCGTACACCGAGTCAAATTTTATGATCACATTGACTTCGTACACTGAAAAATTTGTACTCTAGGGCATTCGTAGACTGAGGCTCCACTGTAATATATCCTATATTAGATTTCTGTAACCAAAGCATTGAAAGAGTTAAGATTTTAAAAGCCAGGTTAGACACTTGTAGCCTACAGCAATAACAAAAGTTTTTTCAGCCACACCAACTGCTGAAGAACAAGAGAAGGGGCAACACATTGGAACTGCACAAACAAAACTTAGTCTTTGTAGCAATTAGGTCAATGTAGTTGTTAGAACTGTTAAAGCTCTAATTTTAATGGTTAATGTTTTACACTGTACCATCAAGAGGAAGGTAATCATGACTCATTATCTTCACATTTTATTGACCGTTATCCTAGAACTGTAATATGAACGTATTCACAAGTAAACTTTAAAATGGCACTCACAATCTTTCAATATATTTATATTCTATTTTCCAGTGAATAAAAACTCTGAGAACCTTAAAATTTCCATTGTTACATCACACAAAGCAATGAATGTTCATCATACTGAATGCCCAATAGCTCAACAAATTTACCAGCCTGGAATGGGCTAATCATTATTACACAAGTAGGGTTAAGAGTAAATACTGATCATATATAAATATAAAAATTGCTCTCTTGTACTGTTTATTGACATAGAAAATCAGCTTAACAGATAAAGTTTATCAAACAATATATGTACACAAAGGGAATACTTCAAATAGTACATCTGTCATCTAATTTAAATATTGTAAAACTTGAACTCAATATTACCTTAGGTCTGAGGTCAAGTAATATTAATGGCATTTTACAAAAGTGACACTGAATTATATAATTGCCTGCCAAGAGGTTTCACCTACTATATTATATGTACAAGAATTGGCCAGGTGATAATTAGGATTAGAAATAAATGTTTAAAATATGTTATGGCATTCAGTAATTGCAGTAACAGTGCTTTACCAAGGAACTGGTGTTGCCTATTATTTTTGGATGACAAAGAGCCATATTAAATTTTGTATATTAATGTTCAAATATAATGTACTTAGCATATGACCTTATTTTCCATACTTGGATCTGAACTACAATTTATTATCCCAAAACAATTTCAGTCCAATGAGGCTTGTTACCTCTATATATTAATGTTCAAATACTAATTTGGAAGAATGAACATACAAATTTTATTATTGAAAAATGTCAAAGAATTAATTGCACTTTCTTAAAAATAAAGAGTAAAGTAATATTACTGAAAGTTGGGTTACTGTACAGTATTTCCATTTTCAGACAAATTAATTGTTTGAGCAACTGCTCATGAAGGATAAGCATTGGTCATACAATTAAGTTAAAGCAATAAAAGCTTATCCACTGTACCAATGTAATTAAATTTTTCTTTTTACTACTTGTTGCTTTCTTGTGCAAATAATAAATATTACTATTAGATAATTTGGGCTTTATTGGGATTTCAAGATTTAGCCCTTGATTTTAGTCTTGAAAGACTGAAGTCATCATACAGTAAAACTGTATATCTACAATTGACTTGCTCCCCAAGACAGCAAGTTTCATCCAATTATCATGTTCCTTATTACAACACACAGAATGATGCACAGCTCATTTAATACAACACTAAATCTGTTTCAAATAAAAAAGAACCAATGGAAAAAATGCTCATTTTGTAGTACATTTATAGTTGGGAGTTTAAACAGACATTAGACATTAATACTGCACTAAACACAAGATTTTAACAAAATTAAATCAAATACATTCTTAGCATTAACTTGCCATACTGAAATTCGAACAATAAAACAGCCTCTTTACAGATTCAGCCACAAAATCTTACCTTTCCATAATATTTACATTAACATTGCAAATATGGTCATATGTTTAATACGTTTACCACAAATACAATATTTGTTATTACGCGATGTACAAATAGCTCCCAAGAAGGCTATCATTCTTAACGATATAAAAAAGCCCAATAAAAATAACAATTCCATATTTCCATATGACAAGCATGCACTGGACTATTCTTCAACAAGTTTCCCTTTCTACAACGCTTTTCCTGTACTGCTCGTAAATGTTACTCTTCACGGGTTATTTTGTTCCCCATTTACTTTCTAATGAAAGTCTCACAATTATTTTCTAGTTCTCTTCTCTTATTCCAGCTACATAACAAAATACAGAACAGTACTGTAATTACATGGCCTGTACTATTACACTTTGTACACAAATTCTTGAGTAAGAGCTATACTATATGTACACAGTCAAAATTACACTAATTTCAATAAGTATCCGAAGACCCAATGCACATTTTTATCCCTGCCAAATGTCGAGGTACGTCAACATAAAAATTACATAATGCATGGCCTAGATGCTTCAAAATAGACAAGCACAATAACATTACATCCAGGATTTCATTAACGCATTAAAGAGTCATTCCATGTCAATTCACGCAAATATTGGGCAAATTTTCTGGCATCCTCTCTGATTTTGATGCAATTTGGTACACACATAGAGATCTCGGCGAGAGAAAGTGACGTTTGTCTCACATTAGCAGCTAAAACAGTTGCAGATACATAATCTTGAATTTTGCAAAAATGGGTAAATTTTCCTTGCTCATGCTTTATTTTAAAAGGATGCACCTTAGCTTTTATGGCACAGAATTCATTCAAATACCATTTTAATGCTATTAAGTGGCTCTCCACCTTTTAATTCTATGCATATTTTAAATCAGGATTCAAATAAAAAAGTTTACCTTAAATTTAATCTTTGACCCCTGGGAAGGTCATTTGACACCAACACAGAATTTGTCAAACTTGAACAATTAACTGGTATGTGTATACAGTATTAGGATTTAACATAATTTGTATGGGTTATTCTCTCAAGTTTAGGACCTCCATTCATTTGAATGGATCTAACCTTAGCTGAATACCTTGACCTCAAGTAAATATCCAAACTTTGGAGAGCCATAACTCGGGAGCCATTTCAACTACAGCGGTGAGACAAATGTTGTTCTATTTCTCTCATTAATTTAAAAAATTTGACTATATAAAATTCAATTTGTAGTGTATTTCAGTGTATCTTATCAATGCTGTTTATTTTCAGGTCAATAAAATGTTAGAAATTATAATGTACTCACCTAGTTGTGGATTGAGGGATTAATGTCCTTAATCTTGGGTGCTATTGCTGCCACCATTTTGCAAAACACAAGAGCATCATCTTTAAAGACATTCATCCCTTAACTAAATATCTGCTAAATAGAATTCTATTACTTAAAAGTCACAACAAACCATAATATTAAAACTATTGTAGGGAGTTAGCAAAATCTCCGAATCCACAGTCTACAATGTACAGTGAAGAATCCGAGGCAGAAACCATAGAAGATAACGTTATAAAACCATTTAGCATTTGAGGCTGAAGATACAGAAAATAATGCAGCTGATAAGTATGACCTTGCTGAAATGAATAGGCAACTGGGCAAAACAGAAGAGACAACAATAGAAGCAAGCAGAGTATCTTACAGCTCACATCATGCAAAAAAGAAACTTGAGAGTGGAAGGAGCCATGTAAAGGAAGCTTGAATAAAACATGCTAGGTATTAAATTTCAGCCACAGGTTATGATGAAACAGAGATCAAAATTCTTCAGCAAAAGAGAACTTCAATAAAGTGACAAACCAAAGTGTAAAAATAACATTCTAGCACTCCTACCAAAGACAGCAGAAATATAATCATGCAGAAATTAAAGTGTTCCGACTACTGTACATGGCTTGGCAAGCAAAGCGTTTGCTGGCAGAATTTGTAGTAAGTACTTTCAACACCAAATCCACAGCTGAGGAAATGTCTGCCTAATGCAGTTGCAGCTAAAGTAATTAATTTCTATCACTCTCCAGAAGTGAGAAGAGAAATGCCAGGGGTGAAAGAGAGCTGACAGAACTTGGGAAAGAAGGCAAAAATGTTTTAGTATTGTGTAACTTGAAAGAAGCATTTACAAATTTCAAAGAGAAATATCCATCAATGAAGATTGGATTTTCAAAGTTTGCAGAGTTTTGGGAAAAGGAATATGTGTAACCTGGGGCGAGTGGCACACATTGTGTGCATTAATACTAAATATCAAAATGTTAAGCTCGTGATGCCAGCCACTGAAAAGGTTCTTTAAGCATAATTCAACAGACTGCCTAAGTCCTAATGTGGGTGGCCCACAGCATCAACATCACAATATAATGATGGTCCTGATACAAACTATATTTGTCACTACAGCCACTGTTTTGCCCTTCACCAGTGCAACCCACCATAGGAAATATACATTTCTTTTGGGAATGTACACCTTGCCTGTATATCTTGGAAGTCAAGGAAGAAAACAATGAAATAAACTTAACTATCCTTCACCCACGTGGACCTGCACACACACATTTGTGTATCCAACTCCACCAGATGAACAAGTTATTGATGCAAGTGATGTGATAACGATAGCTTAGTTACCATTACTGGCCACATCTACACATTGACCAAGTCAAAAATGAATAAGGCCACAAACAAAATTCAGCAGCAATCGTGAAGAACAGAGGGGCTGGCAGTGAGGATTATTATAGTACTGAACATATAAATTTAAAGGTTCTGTCATTTCAAGACATGTACCAAACTTATATTGAATTATGCCCATCTTCATGTGTAGGTGGTAATTAACTAGTATTAAAGTTATTGCCATGTATGTGCATTGTGGTTAAATTTGACAATGACTACAAAAATGATATAACCAAATGCTCATCAGGTAGGTGACTGGCAAGCGTGTAGGGAAGGAGGAAAGCCATGAAATTCATTCCAATGAAGTGGGGATGGAGGGGAAGAGGGGTGGGTGGCTGCTGATTTGCATATCCAGAAAATTTTATGATCAAAAATTTTGAAATTAATGAAATAGAACAATACTGTATATGTCTTACCATCATGAGACACATGAAATCACCACATGAGACCAGAAGGCATGGCAGGATGTGCAGAATATCCCCGTTGAAAAGCAGAGGTGTAACAGGTCCTCTGAGGGAGAACCCTATCAACATCAGAGGCCCGAGACTGTTCAACATGCTTCCACTACGCACAAGGGGGCATAACTGGCCGACACCCCCTCAGTGTTCGAGAGAACTAGATAAACACCTCCAAAGAATACCTGATCAACCAGGCTGTGACTCATACGTCAGGCTGCGAGCAGCCGTATCAAACAACCTGGTTGACCAGTCCAGCAACGAGGAGGCTTGGGCAATGGACCGGGCCGCTAAGCTCCAAAACCAACACAAGGTAATCATTGTACTTAAAATGGTTCTAGAATTATGCCTCTACAAAGTTTGGATAGACACTTGAGGTCAGGGTTTTCAGCTAAGGTTAGGGCCATTCAAATGAATGCAGTTCATTTACCCCCCCCCACACACACACTATATATATATGTTATAAACTAGTATACACATTTATACCAATTTTGAGTTTGAAAAAATCCTAATTATACAACAAATGACCTTTCCAAGGTCAAAGGTTAACTGCAAGGTAAACTTTTTCATTTGAACCCTGATTTAAAATATGCACAGAATAAAAGTTGGAGAGGCATTCATGGAGAGGCTTTAAGATATTTGAATGAACTCTGCATGTGCCATAGGAGCTGAGATACATCCTATTGAAAAAAGGCACAATCATGGGAAGATTCCCCCCTTTTTTTTGCACAATTCAAGCTCCCACATCTCAGGAACTATTTTAGCTACAGATGTGAGACAGGTCATTCACTGTGAATTTTCTCTCGCTGAGATATGTACGTGTACTAAATTGCATCAAAATAGAAAAGGGTGCTGGAAACCAACTGAGTGAAGTGACATGGAATGACCCATAACAAATGTAAATATGACCACAGTTCGAGGAGAAACAAAAGCAATATCTTGACAAAAATATAAATAAAAATAAAAAATAAAGTACCTACAAAGTTCTATACAGTATTTTATGAGAGTATAGTAAAGTACAATCAATATCCTTTCATGGTAACAAAACCCAATATAAAACTTTCCTTAATTCCCAGCCCTGAATGAAATCATTCTACCCATGATAAGACATGAATAAAGAAATCTGAAAATATTCTTTGCTCTTATGTTAGTGGAATATTATAGAAATCACACATTATAATTAAAGAAGTATTTATTATATTACAGTCTCTAATCAGAATAATTTCAAACTGCAACAAATAGCTTGATACTTTTGGCACAGCAATATTTTCATCCCCAAGTGCTGTCAGTCTTATGCATGCTGAAAGCTTATTTACATAACCATGACTAAAATGTTCTCAGGAAGCTACTATTTATATCTGGGCTTATTCCCTCATGGTTAATTAGGACTGCATTATTGTTACACAAGTCAAAATATAAGTTGTCATAATTCAGACAAATCCTCATCAATATCAATACACGCCAGACCTAAGTACTGTAAACGACAATGTCAATTATGCATTCATAGTTTTACAGTTCAACGGTTCGAATTCCATATACCAGTGCCTTTCAGCAGTTCGTTTTCAGGTACTGTACTTAAAACACCATTTCTACCAAAGTAATAGCCTTTTAAGTTATTTGCGTAAAGGAGAAACAGATTAAAATAGAGAGACGCATGATAAATGAGAAGACAAAATATACAGTATGTAAAAGAAAAAAAGACAGATTAAGGCAAATACAAGATTAATACTTAAAAGCTTAAGCAGCCTGAAAAGTTTTTAACACATTTTTCTAACAATCTGGACTTCATACACTATTGAAATTAATGAAAAATAGTATACAATTATCAGTTATTGTTATCATTATTTTCATTTTCATTATCACTACTAGAATCACTACTTGAAGAGGAGGATGAAGAGTCACTGGATGAGGAGGAGGAGGAGGACGACGACGAAGACGATGATGAGGAGCGGTGTCGCTGGCTGGGCGGCTTAGGTGCTGGTTGAGAATCTGCATCATAATTGCTATAATATTCATAAAGATCAGCATGTGGTTGGCTTTTATGAGCTACTTTGAGAGTAGTAGTGCACTCAGGACAATACCAATTCCCCTCTGGAGCAGCCATAATTCCCACACATTCAAAATGGAACCACTGGTAGCGACAAGAAGGATTGTCACAGCCTATCATATCTGACACCTCATCATATGGACACTGACAAATGCAGTACAGTGTTTCATCTGCCTCCATACTGCCTCCATCGTCACGAGGACCCTTCTTGGACATTCTTTTTCGTTTTTTTGGTGGTGGCTTTCCACTAATAGTAGTCATGGATTTCTTCCTCTTGTTTCCTGAATATGACTGGGTTGATGTATTTGCAGCCACACGAGTTGCAGGCATATATATGCTGCACGAATTTTCAGGAACTTTATGTACACGGTGTCGGGCAGGGTGTACATTATCTAAGTGGTACTGTAAAGCTTCAAGAGAATGCCAAGGCGAAGCCCCGTCACAATATGGACAGTCATAACTAAGTGTCTGACTCTTAGTAGCTTTATGTACCATAAAGAAATGCAAGCTAAGAACTGTCCACGATTCAAAAGCTTTGTAGCAAAAATTACACATGTATGCATCATTAACCCTTACGTGGTCAAACATTGTGTGTGTGTCACTAAGATGCACAACCAGGTCCACAATCTTATTAAGGCGTGGTCGGGCTTCACATACACGGCACACTATTTCTCCACCAACATTGAGCGCTCGTTGTGCTTTATGGGCATAATAAAGATGAAAATAATAGGCTCCGTCCTCCCGAAAAACCAAGCCACACAAACAACGAAAAGTTCCATTAGGTAGCATTGCACGTTGGTGATAAGCTAAATGGTGGTCATTAATATCATCTGCAGTGGTGAAAGAATGATCACAAAAAGCACAATCATTGAGCCCCAAGTTTAATACAAGTTGTGGGTGAACCAGGTACATATGAAGCAATTTTCCCGCTGGGTCATTCCAAGTCAGATGGCACGGCCCACACCGTACTCCAACAGCTCGGTCAACAATCTGCACCATGTTTTCTCGCACTATAGGTGATGGTGGATTTTCATCAACTGTTCCCCCGATCGCTCCCACTACACCACTGGAACCATCCACCAATTTTCTTCTTTTCTGCTCTGCATGCTTCCCTTGAATATCCAAATGATGAGTTTGCAATTCCTCATGCTGGTACATATCAACTTTATCCACCTGTACCGATTCCAATGGTTTCTGTTTGTTGCTTGCTTGCTTTCCATGTGTATTTTTCTTGTGATGAACTGCTGTTGTTTTTTCACTTTCCGAATCTGAAGTGTCCAAATCTGATTCTGTCATTGCTAACATGACCAGCCTCGTCTGGAATTCTTCTTCAGCTACCTTGTCATCATCATCAATCTTGCCAGATGGCACAGCAGGTGTCACTGCTGGGCCTTCCCACTCTGAACTGTCTGAATCTGTATCACTGGCCATGTTGCTTTTGTCCTTCACTGACTTGTCCAAAGACGTTCTATGTTTTCGGCTTTTATATTTACTGAGGTCTTCACTAGAGTCAGACTGGTAATTTGTCGATTGGCTTGGGTGGTCAGCAGCCACATGTTTTGCCAGCAAATTTCTCGACACAAATGCTTGTGTACAATGCTGACATTTATGCGGTCGTTCTCCAGTGTGAATACGTGAATGAACTCTTAGTCTTGAACGAGTACCAAAACGATCACCACAATGGTCACACTTGTGAATTAACTGTTTTTTGTGTATATGAAGAACATGTTGAGTTAGAGACACCTCGGAAGTAAAACATTTTCCACAGTGGGGACATGTTTGTGGGTTGTGTTTCCATTCTTTGTGTTTAACAAGATGGTGATCACGCACAAACTTTTCCCCACAAACTTCACACTCAAATTTCTTTTCAAGTTTGCACAAGTTGTAATGAAGTTGCCGTGACTTTTCTTGCTTAAAGCGCTTACCGCATTTAAAGCATGGAAAAGTGTAACCAATCGACGGAGAAGCTCTAGCTTCCAGTACTACCATAGTTCTTTGGGTACCATCTATTCCAGAGAATACAAAAGGGCGTGCTTCACTTGGTAAATGGGATAAATGGAAGGAGTGAACTAAAAATGCATAGAGGCTTCCTTGAAAAGTCCCACAAGTACAAGTAACAAGTGCACGTGGATGAGCTTCATTCATATGTAACAAAAGGCGAGGTAAAAGTACACTTACACCACATCCTACACATTGACCTGTAAACTTGTCACTAAGATCACGTAAAATGTTCTCCCCCATAGAAGTCTCATCGATATCAGCATTTTCTCCCAGACCTTTTGGCAAAGGCTTTGGTTCTCCACGTCTACTTTGTCTCTCTCTTGGTGTACTCTTCTTTTTCAATGAGCACTCTACCTCTGGTGCAGATTGAACAAGATCAACATCTGATGACCGAGACTTTGTGTGTCCTGGGAGCACAGCTTTATCCGTCTCCTCGCCATTTTGTTGTAATTCTGTTAAAACTTCGGTCATAGTTCGAATGGTTTGGGCCACAACATTGTTAAGGGTATCAACCAAGCCAAACGTTGGTGTTCCTCCTTCTGGTGGCAAGTGACCTGAATTTTCTTGTTTGTCAAACGTACCGTGTTCTTTTGTTGGAGGAGTTTTAGGGGATAGCGTAACTGGGGTATTTTTTGTGCTCTCTAAGTCCTTGATTTCTGTGGACAATGTTGCTTCTATATTAGTAGGTGCTTTTGATATAACAGAGTCTGCCTGACTACCATTTGGGTTAGGTAAATTTGGGCCAGGACTAGGTGGACATGATCCACGTGGTGAATTTGGTGAAGCAGCAGCTGTATCAATCTGTAAAGGTGGCTCACTACCACTGTCATCATCCTCATCGTCTTTCTGTTCTGTCTCATTGTCTTCCACTGTTTTTGTTTCATGAACTGCAACTCCAAATGGCAAAGTGCTTACATCCGTCTTTGCAGTCTCGGCTACTCCAACAGCAGGAACCTGTGGTTCATCTGATATCGACTGTACTGTCTCCACTCTCTCTCTCTTTAAGGTGGTATTTTTCTCAGCTGAGAACATGAGGTCAGTGGTAGGTGGAGTAAGTTTGTGGGGAGACATAGATACTGTGCACAATGACCCACACCAACCAGGAACAGCATCATCCTCACTTTCTGCAGTCTCCTCTCTTGCCTCACAGTTATTGCCCATTTCCTCCACTGAATTCTCTTGGGTGTTTCCTTGAGGTGTGTCCATTAATAAAGGAACATAGATTAAAGGGTCACATTGTGCTACAACACCACCAGTTGAACTAATACCTACAAGAATGACACATCCATCTTCTTTATATAATACTTTAGGATGCTGAATTTTGTACTTTTCTTTTACTTGTTGTTTATATTTAAGACGTACCCAAACAGCGTCCAAAGACCTCAGATCATGACAGGTAGTGCGATGATGTTGCAAGGATGAAACTGTAATGGCATGATAAGGACAGATTAAGCAAGCAAGAGTGTGTGATAACAACTGATGACAAAATAATGCCAAACGATCCTTGAACACTTTGGTCATATTACACTTTGAACAACAGTTAGGTAGCTTAACATACTTTAGGTGGGGTTTTATTGTTTGTCGATGTTTAGGGGAGTCCATAAGGTGATCATAAAGACAAGATGCCTGTGGAGCACTGAAATTACATGATTGAGCAGGACACTGCCAAGGTGGACCAGCCTGGCACCGATGCAAACCAAGACGGCAGTGTGCACACAGAGGAGCTGGACTCAAGTCTGCATATCTTAATGTCAGAGTAGTTGAGCATCCACAAACCACACAGGTTGTCCATATTTTTACAGTAGTGGAAGGAGTTAGGTGGTGACCTGCCCCAATTAATGTAAACAAATCTCCAGTATGACTATACCAGACTGTATTTAGTGCCTGAGCATCTAAGGAAGAGAGAAGTCCTCCACGCCCTCCACGAACCCACTGAAGAACTAAACTTATCTCGTCCAAGTTTAACTCTTCATCACTGGGAAGATGACATGCATTAATGTGGGATGCTAGGTGAATAGATGTAGGAGCAACTGTTTGTCCAGGCTTGGACTGTTCATCTGGTTCAGAGTCACAATGAAGTGTTCTGCATGTGGGAAATGGACAAGGGAAAACATGAAATGCCCAAGAGTGCACCACCCAAGACAAAATATTTTGCCCAATTAAATTTGTAGGGCAAAAATTACAAGTAAAATGTGGAACACATTTTTTAACATATGTATGGCTATATACATGAGGAAGAAGTGCACTTGCCCACTGGCCACAAAGTACACACCAGCCTCCTGCCAGCTGGCTCTTGTGGTTTGCAATTAGATGGGCAGTCAACTGAGACTGACTACTGGGATATGGATAGCCACAGAGAAACCAACATGAGAGGCTGTCTTTCACCAAACCCCAGCACCCTCCACACAAGCCACGTGATTCATTTAACTGCGGACTCACAATAAATGCTAAAGAACGCTTACATATTAGACAACGTGCAAAAGATATATTATTATGTAAACCAAGAGCTAACATGGAGGCCAGGGAAGATCGGTCAAGTGGAGGCAAAACATGAAGGAGACGTAACAGCAGCCACCAACCATGTAACAAAGTATCACTCAATAGATGAACATTAACCAGGTGGTTCGCTAAAATCTTCGGGAAGGCATGTGGAGCACACACCATCAGGAAGTGCTGAGGATTTTGAACAACAGCTGGGGTGGTGCAACACTGGTGACATGTCCATGATAATCCCTTTCCTGTCCACCACACACTTGCCTGTGGAGATGGAGAGCTCAAAGTCAGCATACTTGACATCTGTCCATGTACTAGAAGTTCGTGTAACTGTCGAGTCGGCTGTGCTAACAGACACAGGCACACTCGACATGGAAGAGTAAGATTTGAAACCGACCCGGCCATTGTACATGATGCAACATCAGCAGACAAATCCTCCAGCATTCGCACAATGACGGGTTCATGATGTTCCCATAAGTGTGCATGATACTGCACAGCTCCAATCATTTTTCCACAGTGGCCTTCATCCAGCATACACTCGTAAATTCTCCTGTGACCAACTCTTCGATGTTGATATTTTTCTTCGTTAGTTTCAAATACTAACTGACATTCATGACATGCTTTTTTATCATCTGCTGAGTCCACTGGTCTTAAGGTTTTTCTGCTAAATGGTTGAACATCACTAGTGCTAATGCTAGCCGGAATCAGATTATGGCCTATAAGCTTTCTAGATCCGTCATCACTGCTGTGTGAAGTAACAGAAACAAAACCTTCAAATGCTTCTTCAGCCACATCATTATTTCCAAAACATTCTTCTTTCCATTTTTTTTCTGGCAAGGAATTATGGAAACCTTCAAAGTTGTTTACCCTACATTTTTCATCATCTAATGATCCAAATAGCTTTTCGTATTCCCCTAAAGTTATAACCGTTTTTGTAACTTCATTTTTGTCAATCACATCATTCTCTGTGCAATCACACTTATATCCCTGTTTTTCCATTTCAATCCCTTTATCTTTAAGGCAATGTGGTTCAATTTCTTTAGGTATTTTTATTACACTAATACTCAACCCAGTATCACTACCGTGTTGTGAATGTTCAGATTTTTTAGGCTTTCCTGCAATTGAAATTCTTAAATCATCTTTCTCAATATGTTCTCTCTCGAGGCATTTAGTTTCTTTTAATATTTCATTACATGAATTCTTGATGTCATCTTGCCCTTCAACAGTGGCAATCATTCCATGCATTTTACTTACATTATGACAATTTTCATCTATATCCATTTCTCCGAGCTCACATTTTCCTTTATATATGCACTCTGTTTCTGACAACATAATCACATCACCTTTAACTTTTTGGTGTCTCTGAGGTTTATCATCATTGTATTCACTATTGCTGCTCTGTGTGATACGAGAATGGGGAATAATACTTATGTCTTTGTTATGCCAGATAGATTTTTCTGCACTTTTACAAATTTGTTTAATTTCTTTGCCATTTTCAGAGTCATGTATAGGTTTGCTCATATCATTATCTACTCTTGAAAACTGTGCTTCAGATGACAAGTCTTCATTATTAATTTTACCTTTAGACAAACTATCTTTTCTTGGAAAAGGGGTCTTTTGGATATTTTGTCCAATAACATCCATTAAAATTTTATTTTGTACACATTCTTTTGAACTCGTTACATCACTATCAGTTTTACTAGAGTCACTCGAATCACTATCATCATCTTCTGAAGACTCAAAGGGTTTATCCCTTTGGATCATATCTTTTAGTACTTCACTAGGAGTATATCCCGTTCCTCCCCCTCTCACCACTGGGCTGCTATATGATGCACTATCTAACACTACTTCACCACTACATTTGTCAATGGATGCTGCCATTTTAGACTGATTGGTTTCCTTTTCTTTCTCACAAATTATATGCAACTCTTTAGATACACTATTACTTTTGGGAGAACAACAGGGTAAAGGCTCCTCTTTGTCCTGCTCTAAAGAAAGGTTTGAAAGTCTACTGATTTCAGTTTTAGTTTGAGAGCCTGCTGAAGAAGGGTCATCTAAGCCTATCTGCCCAGAATCATTAGATACATTAATGGCATCAATATTATCAACTGATGTAAGTGAAACACCAATTTTATCTTTCAACTGTTTTTTCTCACTTACTTTTATCACTGCTACACTATTTATGTCACTACTGTTATTCTCCAGTTTATCACTGCTATCCCCATCAGTCTTAATGTCTGTAACAGATTGGGTAACACAATGTGATCCAGGTAACCACTGCCTTGTACTAACTAAGGTTTGTACTTCACTTATATTTCCAGGAGGGTCTAGATCGTTTGTTGATGTATTTTCTTCAATACTGGGAGCAATATTTTCTGGACTATCAACTGTCTGTTGACTATTTTCAAGAGTATCTTCATTGGCACTGAGAGATCTCTGAGCATCACCATTATCAACATTTTCCAACTGTTCTCTAGCTACTGACTCATTCAGCCTGGTATTCTCCTTATCACTGTCAGCTTCTGTATTACTTGTAGAAGGTTCTTGACGTAGAGGTTCTTCTGGCTTTCTATGTTGACCTTCTGAGAAGTCTAATTTACGATTGGTGCTAATGGCTTCATCTGTATTTCTTCGTTCTACATGCTTGCGCTCCAGTCCTTTGTGACTCTTATCACCACCAGAACCAGAGGCCTTGGTAACTTCCTGCTTCTCACGACGCTCATTAGCCTTAAGGGATTTCACAATGATTTCCCAATCGTGCATGATATCTGGTAAAGGTGCTGTTCGAGATCTCTTTGTTTCAGGGGAGTTTTCTTCTTCCTCTCTTGACCCTCCAGAAATTGGTGGGTATAGTAATTTTCTGGCTTGGCTGCCCTCTTGATTGGGTGATCTTCCATCACGTGAATTGCGGCCACTATGATGCACTTTTCCACTTGCATGCCGTGACTTTCTTGGCCGTTCAGATTTCGTCTGAGAATCATGAAGGGTATTACCAGATGTGCGTCCAGGTGTTGCTAAGGAGGTTAACCTTGGAGAAGCATCTGGAGCAAATATCTGGCATTGGCCAGATTCAGAAACACTACGAGTCCGTCCAGTACGTCTTCCAGCAGGGGACCTGAAAGAATAAATAAATGTAACATGACTTCTTGTAAAACATGTTTTAATAATTAGGACATTATTAAAGTTATTATTACATTGTTAAAACACAAATTCACACTACGGTAGTCATCTTTAACCAATGAGCACTAGGACAGGCACCTTATCCAGTCAATGTGCAATACGACACTCACTTCAACAAGTCAATCACAGTTTGGCAAAATTTATATTAAAGAAACCTCAAGCTTTCCCAATTCACAGAACCCCAAGCTTTTCCAATTAACAGAACCTCAAGCTTTTCCAATTAACAGAACCTCAAGCTTTCCCAATTAACAGAACCTCAAGCTTTTCCAATTAACAGAACCTCAAGCTTTTCCAATTAACAGAACCTCAAGCTTTCCCAATTAACAGAACCTCAAGCTTTCCCAATTAACAGAACCTCAAGCTTTCCCAAAGGATCAATCTTGATGCAAGGGTCAGTGTTATTCTTCACAACTGGTTATCAGAGTTACCTTATACCCAAATTATCAAATCCACTAGGATTGTGATGAGGGTTTGAACCTGCGCACTGGATGTTCCCAGCTGTACCTTAGTCAACTGTGCCACAACACAGTTGTGGCACAGTTGACTTTGGGCGCAGCTGGGAACATCCAGTGCGTAGGTTCAAACCCTCATCACGGCCCTTGTGGATTTGTTCATTTGATATATCACGCTATTGTGATTTCTCTGTGTATACCCAAATTGTTTTTTAAATAAAAATCATAATTTAGGCCAGCAACATTCACAGGGTATATATTTTGCAAGCAAAGTATTTAAAAAATTATGATAAGTACAAGGGAGGAATTAAGAAAACTTTCAGAGGAATATGTCTGTCTAGTAGTTGGACTAGCAATTAACAGTACCGTATATAGTGACCACACATACATACATACATACATACACACACACACTCTCTCTCGGCCACAGGGAGCCGGTGGCCGAGCAGACAGCACGCTGGACACGTGATTCTGCGGTCCCAGGTTCAATCCCGGGCACCGGCAAGAAACGATGGGCAGAGTTTCTTTCACCCTATGCCTGTTACCTAGCAGTAAATAGGTACCTGGGAGTTAGTCACCTATCATGGGCTGCTTCCTGGGGTGTGTGTGGTGTGGAAAAAAACCAGTAGTAGCAGAAACAGTTGATTGACAGTTGAGAGGCGGACCAAAAGAGCAGAGCTCAACCCCCACAAGCATAACTAGGTGAATACAACTAGTTGAATATACAATACAATACACACATTCAGTAGTTTCAAAGCATTATATGACAAAGAGTGCTGAGAAAATGGGACACCACGAGCGTAGCTCTTATCCTGTAACTACACTTAGGTAATTACACACACACACAAAATTGAAATCATAGAAAAGGTAAGTGTTCCTAGATCACATTATTTACTTGAAAACAAATGGTAAAAGCTTTAGTAAGAAAAGACCAGTACTATATATACTATATTCATGGAATGGGAGCAAATGAACAGCAAAAAGAGGAAATGAGCTCTATGAAATTCTATATCTCTATGGGGTGCAAGGAAGTTTATGCTGGGAACTGTGTTAATTAATGGAATGGCTTAAATCTGCAACCAAGTAGAGAATAACAACTACCCATGACCATACCAGTGCAGAGAGACAGCTGAACTACAGCATAACTGTGGCATATTTCCCAAACCTTTTTAGGTAAATAGGGTATACCAGTGTTAAAACAATATGTATTCAATAAAATTTATGTTGATATGCTGCAGTTTTATTAAAACCAACAGTATTAATTAATTACTACTGTATAAAAGAATTTGTTAAAGAAATAAACACTAAACATAGATATCAGGGAAGGAAAAAAGTACACTGTTTTGGTAAGTCTCAGATCATGATCAAGTTGAAACTAGGAAGGAAATGAGTCGAGATCAGGAGCAAAGAGCAAAACAGCATGAATATCATTAAATGTACATGATTTTACATACTGTTCAGGTGGTATAAAAAAAAAATTCTCACTGGGAAGAAATAAAATTGTCAAGCAAAAATACAAGCACGAGCATGATTGATGACCAAACACACCAGAAGAGGAAGAAACAACAACACGTCGGTCTGTTTTGGACCATTATCAAGTCATTATCACTTACGAGTCGATAATGGTCCAGGGACAAACCGAAACGGCGTCGTTTCTTCATCTTCTAGTGTGTGGTTTGGTCATCATATCTTCAGCCACATTATTGTGACTCATCCTCTGCAAGAGCATGATTCTCATGACAGATATAGTCAGTAACAGTTTCATTTTAAGTTAAAAGGAATACAAGTCAAGGGTTCTTAGATGGCTTTAGCTAAAAAGAAAACAGTCAAGAATTTGCACAAAGGAGTATTAAATTGAATGCTTACAATCTGATTAAATTCAGATATTAATTTTTGTATAGATGCAAAATTAGTCATCAGGGAGTCCCTCTACTGACAAATAGCAAATTAACACAGTACAGAAATGCCAATTTTCAAATTATATCTGGTAATAAAACATGTCAAGAACGATGATGCAAGAAAACTAGATACGATTTATTACTATTAGGGCAATAGAAAAACATATCCTTAGGTTTGTAAATCTTTGGATATGAACAGAGTGGTGTAAACGAGTTCACAAAGTAAAAGTAGATGTAATAAGTACATGTTGATGCAATGAGTACAGGCTAGTGTAACGAGAACAGGCTAGTGTAACGAGAACAGGCTAGTGTAACGAGTACAGGCTAGTGTAACGAGTACAGGCTAGTGTAACGAGTACAGGCTAGTGTAACGAGTACAGGCTAGTGTAACGAGTACAGGCTAGTGTAACGAGTACAGGCTAGTGTAACGAGTACAGGCTAGTGCAACGAGTACAGGCTAGTGCAACGAGTACAGGCTAGTGTAACGAGTACAGGCTAGTGTAACGAGTACAGGCTAGTGTAACGAGTACAGGCTAGTGTAACGAGTACAGGCTAGTGTAACGAGTACAGGCTGGTGTAACGAGTACAGGCTAGTGTAACGAGTACAAAGTAGAGTAACAAGTATAAGCTAGTGTAACAAGTACAAGGTAGTGTAACAGGTACAGGCTAGTGTAACGAGTACAGGCAAGTGTAATACGTACAAGGTAGTGTAACAAGTTCAGGCAGGTAATGGAGCTGGGATGGAAAGCGGAAAAGAAGGTAAAAAGAAGAAGAGACTGGGCGCAAATCCTTAACTGTAGCCTCTGTTTAACTCAACAGTAAAATGAGTACTTGATTGTAAAAATGATTCTTCGCGGCGGGGATCGTATTCCAGGGATCTGCCCGAAACGCTACGCGTATTAGTGGCTGTACAAGAATGTAACAACTCTTGTATATACTGTATCTTCAAAAAAAAAAAAAAAAAAAAAAAAAAGGTAAATTGTGGAGGATGTTATACAAGTTGTAGGGGTTATGTGGTCATATCCCTGGATACATTGCTAAAATTTAAGAACAATAGAGCATTGTGGTGTGTACACAGTTAATGTATCAATATCACTGCTCCCGAACTCTAAGACAAATATAGCACATATCAGTTTGGATAGCTTCAGGAAGCCGATGGAGCTTCCCCATAGAAAAAGCCAGGAATTTAACATCATTGAACTTACTGAACCGTGTTTATATACTGATGGATGGCATAGAAGATTATAAAACTGCCATGGTACAGTATTAGGCATATCAAGACATGTAGGGAGAAGCAATCAGCTAATGTTTCTAGTGCAGGAGATTACTTGCGTAAATGTGGAAATCAAGCAGGAGACGTTACCATTTCACCTGAGCAAATTTATAATAATAATAATGAGACTTTTTTTGTGTAACATGTTAAACACACACATTGACTCTTCTTAAGAGGTGGAAGTGATCCTTCTGGTGGATATTAGAAGAATAAACAGAGGGTAGCTGTAATCTGCCATGTTAATGCAGCTGGCACACACAAATTATTTAGTCTATGCAACTATGCAATCAAATCAGGTATCATGGCCTCTTGTTGGATCATGGGACCAAGTAAAGCTAACAACGCACATATTACTGGACAAATCTTTTGCTTGCCTCTGGTCAGTTTCATAAATATAAAACAGATTTTAAGGATTTGGAGAAAAACAGACATAGCAAGAAGAAGACATTGAGAGGAACTCCTTGCATGCCAGTGGTACTATAATGAAGAAGCATGCCTTGCATATGTTATTGGAATTCAGGCCTCATAACAAAAAGGGACACTGGTAATACAAACACTTAAATTGAAATAGATTGTGGTAGAAATTACGTTTATTGAGACAATAAGCAGGACAAGGACAATGTCGTGAGAACAAGGCAAACTGGAAAATGAAAGCAGGGGAGGGGGGGTTAGTCAGAATTTAGTTAAGCCCTTATATAATATATGGAATCATATGAGGGATTTTAGCACTTGGGAGATAAAGAACAATATGTAAAAGCAATTTTTAAACACAAGAACAGTGTATGAATCAACTTTTAATTCAAAACTTTTATAAAGCTTTCCAGAAAACTAGCATTGAACTACTGTACCTGCACCTGGTTCATCACATGACCTAGATGCTTCAACAGCCAAAGGAACACCAGCAGCTTCACCCACCAAACTAATAACATCCGCAACACATACCATCCTAACAACTATAAACCAATAGTAAATTCTTCAACTTCATAACAGGATTAGAACTTCTCATATTGTTGAGCAAAAAAGTACACACGTGGGATTTTCTCTGAAATTTTCAGGATGATTAAGTTTGTGTGACAACACTTTTTTTTGGCTCATTCTGAGCTGCAGGCATCCAGAAAGTAAATTATTTTCAGCACAGTACAAAATAAAATTTTAGCTTTGTGCCTACCTTTTGAAATAGTACATTTATCCTTGTACACTGATTGATCTAACACAAGAATTTGAGACACTGAGCATTTTTCTTTAATTTTCTTTGTCACACCAATTGGAAAACAGCAGTGACTGCACCACAATGAAAATACTGTAGAGAAGAATGTAGCGAATACAAGAATTACAGTGGCATTAGTTCACTAAGTGAAGTGGGCAAACTGTATGGCAGAACAGTGATTGGAAGAATACAGAAAATTATTAGTCTAAAACATGATGGGTTCTGTAGTGGAAGAGGGTGTGTATATCCAACCCGTTCTCGCACTTTCGTATAGTCAATATTGACTTATTAAATACGTGCATATGTGACATACTAAACATACTAGTTTACCTTGAAAAGCTTCATAGAAAACACTGACCTTACCTAACCTTCTTAGTATGTTAAGATAAGCATCTTATTGCTTCGTAATTACAATTATTACTTACCTATTATAGGTATAGGTTAAGTAATAATTGTAATTACGAATCAATAAGATGCTTATCTTAACATACTAAGAAGGTTAGGGAAGGTCGGTGTTTTCTATGAAGCTTTTCAAGGTAAACTAGTATGTTTAGTATGTCACACATGCATGTATTTAATAAGTCAATATTGACTATACGACAGTGCGAGAACGGGTTGGTATATCCAATACTTGCAATGTGACAGCTTACTCCGTACAGAATACACGTGAGAAAGATTGTAAGGTGTAAAGAGCCCCTTTGTTTCATATAAATGTAGATTGAATGGTTGCTCAATATATACATTGATGAGATAAGAGGGATGTCAGTGTTAGACTATTAAAGAATATTAAAGGAAAATGTAAGCCTAGTGTACACTTTATGTAAGTACTGTATTATATTTGAAGAGTATCTAATTTGATATATAGTTTATGTAGAGGATGTAGAAAATATGCTTTTAGCACTGAGTAGTTGTTGAGATTTATACAGACTAGTTTGAACGCCAACTAACCCCTCCCCCCCCCCCTCTAGCAACTGGGAAGGTACTACAATGGATACAGGATGAACTCTCAGATAAGAAACAGGAAACTGCGAGAGGAGAGATTTCAGAGTGGAGAGAGGTCATGAGTAGGGGACCACACAAGTAAGCATTAAGACCTATTCTGTTTTAATACATGTCAATGATCTGTAAGAATACTAAAGACTTGCTCATATCCATGTTTGCAAATGATGCAAAGTTAATGAGGAGAGTTTGGACAGAAGACAACTAAAAGGATCCAGACAAACTTCAGCTATGGTACAAAAAGTGGCTACTGAAATTAAACCCTGAAAAATGCAATTATGAAAATAAAATTGGTATTAAAAAGACCTCGGGAGCAGTATGAGATAAAGGGTAGACAATTTCCCACCCTTCATAGGAGAGAGATCTGGGATTGATGTAACATCAACTCTGATACTAGCAGTACATATTAACAGAACAGTGTCAACAAAATACGCAAACTGATACCAGAGGTACATATTAACAGAACAGTGTCAACAAAATACGCAGACACCTAAATAAAGCCGCCATCAAAATACTGCATACACCACATGGGATACCCACCCTGCAGTATGCAGTCCCAGTATGGAATTACCATTTGAAGAAACAAATACAAACTAGAGAAAGTAAAGATACTCGGTAAACTGGTCTTGGAATTGAGAGGAATGAACTGCAGGAAGGAGTGGTTGTAGAAACCCTTATGTATGGAATATGTAACAACTGTGATATGATAATGAATAATAAACTAGAACAGTTAGAATTTATAAGCTGCGATATGCGAGGTGGTAGGAGAACAGAATAAAGAATTTAATTGTCATGAAGAAACGTGGAATATCAAAGTAGATAAACAGCAAAACCAAGCATGCCCTGCTGTAATGGTTTAACCATGTTGAATTAATGGAGGATACTAGACTGGTGAAGGATGAATTTGAGGGTAGGAGATGGAGAAGAAAGCAGAGATGATGATGAAATAGTTTTGATAAAGTGGGGATTGAACCTTAGCAGGAGGGATATGGGAAGGGGTAAGGTTGCATGGAAACAAGCTTGTAAAGAGTGAATATACTTGCTTGTACTGCACATAACAATTCATGTGACTCACTACACACCTGGAATTATGAAACAGTTGGGTACTATTTTAAAAGACCGATGGGCTGTGGGGGGTACTTGCTTATTCATGAAGGTATATAGTGTGAATTATATAATGAATGGGTAAGTTATTTTGTCTTTTTACTATCTATAACCCCTTTTCCCCCCATTTTTTTCTGGGCCGATACCTTCTCACCCCATATAAGTGACAAATAGGACAATTGACATTGAATGAATATACTGTATAATTACTCACATATGTTTTATCTTTTCTAGGCTAATGGTGATAATTTGTATATGTAAATACTCTACTTGTAGAGTTTATGGCACTCCTTTTCCGCTTTAAGTTACCGTATAATTTGAAACTCACCACTACTATCTCCGCTCTCAACACCTAGATCATATACACCAAGTACACTTTCAATCTTTCACACATGCCTTCAACACAGTAAAGTTAATAAAACCCTAATAATTTGAAAGCAATTCTGCATGTTATGTTCCGAGATATTGACCAGAGGCCCATATCAATTTATTTCCCTGCAGTTATGCAGACGTACACTTTAAAACTCATAGTTAAAATTATAAACATCAAATCTAATTTTTCTTGCAATATAATGCAATAAACATAAAATTGGTTTTAATGCAAAAGGCTTTTAAGTAGCAAGTATTGTCTTAGATAAAGCATGTGTGTAGAAATTTTGGTGCATCTATATTCATTTATTTTTTTAGATATAGCTCATGCACCACTTCCCTGACAATGTGTTAGATGGGTTCAAAAATTTCCCACCATGGTGTTACATGACCCAATAACAATAAGGAACTTCCTCACTTCACCATATGGAAGTGACTGAATTTTCAAGTACAAACACGAAGGCGTCTTCCAAACATCACGTGAACACCCCAAAACAAATCTATAATCATTCTGTTATAACTATACGGTATCCCTACCATGGGTTAATATTGGTTTAGGGTAATACATTATTTGAACACATTACCGAGTAACAGACATGGGATTGAACATACATATGAACGAGTTTTGGTGGATACAAGTACAAGCTGCCTCTTATGAACTAATGGGTGGTTATCTATGTCTGGCAAGAAGTCACCAGAAGGCCTAATTGAGATTTCGGTATACAAAATCTTGTGAAGATAGAAGTTATAAAATGTACAAGAACACTGATCACATACAAAGTACATGCAGAGAATATGCTGTTGAAAAAATGGTTTTATGGACAATTTTGCCATTAACTTATAAATGATGATTCTATAGTGGAAAAGTTGATCTTGAGGATGAGAATAAATGCAAAAACCCACAATGGATAAAAGAACTTGTTGAGCACAATGAATAATGATGATACACTTCAGCAGTGCAGAAATAGCTGTCACTCCTACTCACTGAATGTAAGCTGAGGACACACGTGTGGGATGAGGGGCTGCTCTGTGCTTGATCCGACTCATTTCTTACAGGAAAGGAGGCACAGTTAAAATATAAACAGTAGAAAGATCGTTTAAGTTTTGAGAATTTCCATACAAAATTTCACACTAATTCAATTAGCAATTGCTGAGAAGATGCTTACTAATAGTGACCACAGTTAAGACAAGACATCGAGAAACAGACTGACAATATAACAGCTATACCCAAATAACTCTTGAAATTCAGGGGCTAAAATCTAGAGCTTCAATAATTTACACAAATTTGCAAATGAAACAGCTGTGCCTTAAAAAAAATCTCTGGAAAAAAACAAAACTCCATAGATGAAAAGAAATAAAGCATGTAAAATTAAACTATTAATCTTTTTTTGGCTGTAAAATAGTTTTTTGTTTTTTTTTTTGCCCTGTTGAATGCAGTTTTAAAAACTTGCAAGCCTGTATTTTCTATTAGCAAGAATGTGGTTCAAGTAACAAAACCAGTGTGCATTTTCCCAAGACACACACTATCATTATAAACATATCAATGAATGTAATTGTCAAAATAAATCTACTTTTAAGGGGGGGGATGGTTTCATTTAAGGTTTCATCAATTTATATTTATTAGAAAAAAATTGAATGCTCTATTTACATATACTGAACCATAAAACAAAACAAATATTTATATACAGTACATATAAAAGAATCATTATACAATAAAGAAAATGGCCCCAGTGCCTTAATAAGAGGTCTTGTGTCCCTAATGTACAAAAATATCATCATAAATACAACAAATAAACATAATTACAGTGGCAAAGAATTTTATGAATTAAAAAAAATAAAAAAAATAAAAAAAGGAATAATTCTGCCATATTTTTTGCATTTTCAAATTACTGTATGTTTGCTCTCCCTGATCTATGTTATTTGCAGCATTTAACAGGTTTTGATCCCAGTTTTTAATATCAAATGACCTGGTCAAACATTGCACAATTTCAAAATGTTATTCTAGGTACACAGACAGAGGCCACTAATTACAGCATAAGCACATTTTTTTTTTTACTTCAAACACTATCGCTTAAAGCATCAAAAGGGTTCAACTAATGAAGAACAAACGATTCAGTATAAAATTTATCAACCAGTGAGCCACATGCGAATGTTTCACACCCATCTTTTATTGAGAAATTGATGAAATATTTGCTCCTCAAAGTTAGCAGAATTCAATGTAGTCAAACCACGAGTTCAGATTTGGTTAAACAAAATTGTGTAAATGGATTTCTCCAGGTCATATTGTTACAGGAATGAACCCAATCGGATGAATAAAAAAATTCACCTGCTAACTGGGTAGCTAAGAGTGGCAGGCATACAAACACATTACCTCTCCCCAGCTATAAACCAAAGATTTCAGACTCGATAATGGTCCCAAGTAAACTGAGGAACTGCAGCATGTTATTTTCTAGATGGGATGTTGTCAAACAGCTTGAAAAGCATTTTAAAAGGGCCTTTAGAGTAGAAGAAATGTTTTATGGTTGGACTGTATGAAAAGAGGGTTATCATAATCAAGAGAAACATTCAAATATTGTTTTTGGCACTGTGTTTAACAGTTCCACATTAGAAGTCGAGGTGGTGGGGTTGGTCGAAGAGTCTAGCTCTGATTTTTTTTTTAAAGTTCTTACAACATCTAAGCCTGACTGCCAGTTTTCTCTCTCTCTCTCCTTTACTAATACTTTGTGTGTTGCATAAGCTTGCTAAGGCAAGTCCATGTCTTTTCCATGTATGTATTTTTTTTAATACAAATTGTGGCAAGTTTTTAACCAAAATACTGTACTTCACATATTACTGTATAATATGAAGAAGACAAATGTTCCTAAGAAGGCATTATCTGAAGGTGACTAGAACAGATTCTACAGTAGATCCAACATAGATTATATTCAGAAAATACAAAACAAAAGAGGGTACACAAAGATTTACTTACACAAAACTATCAAAGTGAAATTACTAGTAATTATTGGAATACTCTTTGATGAGGCTTACTTTGTCATACCACAAAATGTGAATATATGACAAAAATGCATTTTGAAATACAGTATATACCATACATATGTTTGCCCATGTGTCTGTAAGCACACATCTTACTCAGATGGGTGCATTTAAGCAGTCAGCGCCCTTACATGACTGGAAATGCTGTCATGTTTAGATATGTCACGATATAATTTAGTGTTTACTTTGCTTCCTGTTTTTAACTAGGGCCATTAATTCTTATGTTGTCCTCATCAATCTCTCCAGCTTTCTTATATTTTGTAAGATAAACTACCTTAAAAATTGCCGTGGGGCAAAAGATGGCAGCTCAATTAGATTTAAAATTTGCAAGGTTCATAATTGAATGTTATATGACAAGAAAAATAATAAAATACGAAATACAGTACATGGAATGTTAAGGCTGACCTTATGCAGGAAATGATCCCACGACCATTTGGTGCGATCTGTGGAGCACCCAGACCACCTCACTTCATACTCAAAATGGTGATAAACTGAATGAAAGGTCAGTGACTGAGATTATTCAATAGATGATGAGGCAACCTCCTGCAGGGGTCAGCTGCAGATTCACACCTCTGTATTTTCCATCAGCAGGCGGGTACCAAACACCCCTTACCACTGTATCCTCACCAAAGGCACAAGATCACTCCTGCAAAAGGTCTTAGTTATGAGAGAAGTTGTTAAATGTAATATGCTCTAAATGAAAGTATTTAAAAGGTGTTACTGTACTTAAGAAAATTCAGAGAAATTTAGTTAATTATTAATTAATTATATATATTGGATTTTAATTAAACATTTTAGGTGGGAGATCAAAATAAAGAATGTTTTGGTTTAAAGCTTAGCAAGGTTAAATAAGTAAAGGCCAAGTTAAGAAAAGAAGCACTGTGAAGACATGCTTGTTGTTTCTATACCCCAATATAATGTTTCGGTACCCCTTTGCACATGCCAAACCCAAAACACACAAACTATAAACTTTGAGCTCAATGTAACTAGTTCTACCAAATCCTTGATAAAAATAGGTGTCAATACTCAATCTTGCCCAACTGAAGTACATATGCAGCCAATATATACATACACTACATGTCTGGCTTATATCAAAGCTCCCCCCCCCCCTCCCGGGGTTGAAGTACTGATCCCAGGATGCAACTCCACAACAAGCTGACTAACTCCTGGGTACCTATTTACTGCTAGGTGAACAGGTACATTAGATGATAGGAAACACACCCAACTAATTCTGTCCCTCCCATGATTTGAACCCAGAATTCTCAATTGCGAGTCAAAAACGAACCGACTGTACTAATGGGACCCATATTTTTATATAGTATGTATATGTACAGTATATGTGTGTGTGTGTGTGTGTGTGTGTGTGTAATTACCTAATTGTAATTACCTAAGTGTAGTTACAGGATGAGAGCTATGCTCGTGGTGTCCCGTCTACCCAGCACTCTGTCATTTAACGCTTTGAAGATACTGACAGTTTTGGCCTCCACCACGTTCTCACCTAACTTGTTCCAACCGTCTACCACTCTGTTTACAAAAGAGAATTTTCTTATATTTTTCTTTAGGTCCACTCGGCCGCGAGGCCTATGCGTACTTACTATTTGTGTCTACAGAATCGAGCTATTAGCTCTTGGACACTGCCTTCTAACCAATCTATTTTTCCTCTATTATATCTACTACATATATATTTCTCTCTAACACATCCACACATCCCCAGAAAGCAACCCGTAGCAGCTGTCTAACTTCCAGGTTAGAATTTCGGGAATTTCTCCTTGTCAATTTGGTTGATTCCTGTAAGAATTTTGTATGTGGTGATCATATCACATCTTTTTCTTCTATCTTCTAGTTTAGGCATGTTTAATGTCTGTAGTCGCTCCTCGTAGCTCTTGTTTTTCAGTTCTGGAAGCCATTTTGTAGCATGCCGCTGCACCTTTCCAGTTTCTTTATGTGCTCCTTGAGATTTGGGCGCCATACAACTGCTGTATATTCCAGTTTTAGTCCCACAAAACTGATGAACAGTTTCTTTAGTATTTCACCATCCATATAATTAAAAGCAAGTCTTTACCTGGAAAGTGACACATACGCTCCTTCACAATGTTCTTTGTGTGTTCCTTTGGCGACACCTTACTATCCAAAACCACCCCTAGGTCTCATTCTTTATTAGAGTTCTTTAATTCCATTCCACATAATTTGTAAGTTGTGTGTGGTCTATTTTCTCCGAATCCACATTCCATAACACATCATTTATTCACATTGAATTCCATTTGCCACTTTATGCTCCAAGCACTTATTTTATCTAGATCAATTTGAAGGGCATTACAATCATCTGCACCTCCTTTCTTCCCCAGTATCTTAGCATCATCTGCAAACATGTTCAAATTCAGAAATTCTGTATTCCTTCTGATAGATCGTTTATGAAGACGATGAACATTGATTACTGGTGCAAGAACTGAACCCTGTGGTACTCCGCCTGTAGTACCACAGGGTTCTGTAGTAACACTCCTCCAGTCAGATACATTGTCTCTGATTACTGCTCTCATCTGTCTATCAGTTAGAAAGTTTTTCATCCATGTCAGAAGTCTCCCTGTCACTCCTCCAGCTATTCCAGTTTCCAGAACAGCCTTTTGTGTGGGACTCTTGTCAAAAGCCTTTTTTTAGGTCCAGATAATTACAGTCAACCCAACCATCTCTTTCCTGTATCATCTCTGTGGCTCTATCATAACAACTAAGTAGATTTGTTACACATGATCTTCCTGTTTGAAAACCATATTGTTTGTCCGTTATTATGTCATTACTCTCTAGGTGTTCAATCCATTTGGCTTGTACTATTGTTTCTAGTGTTTTGACTACCACGCTTGTTAATGATATGGGTCTGTAATTTAAAGGTTCCTCTCGACTACTGTACCACTTTTATAGATTGGTACAATGTTTACCTTTTTCTGTAAACTGTACTGTATCTGCTAAGATTCCTGTCCACAAGAATGTCTGGAATATTAATTGGAGTGGAATGCTCAGCTCAGTTGCACATTCTCGGAGTACCCAAGGTGAAACTCCATCAGATCCAACTGCTTTATTTCTTCCTAGCCCCTCGAGTAATTTTTCCACTTCGCCTTGAGGTACCTCTATGTATTCTATGGCTTGCTCTGGAATTGGCATTAGGTCTGGTTCTATGAAATCCTCATTTTGCACAAATATACTTTGGAACTGTCCATTTAGCATTTCACACATTTCTTTTTCATTCTCAGTAGTCCTGTTCCTCGTTCTCAATCTCTGGATTTTATCCTTTACATGCAGTTTGCTTTTAATGAATTTATAGAAAAGGTCTTGGTCAGTTCTACATTTGTCTACAATACTTTTCTCAAAGTTCCTTGCTGCCTCTCTCCTCACTGTTGTGTAATTGTTTCTTGCTTGCTTGCAGTGCTGGTATGTTTGTGGGTTAGGCCTCCTCCTATATTGAACCCATTTTGTCTTTTACTCTCTGGCCCTCTCCCAATTTGTTTAACCAATAGTGTTTTCTGGTTCTGCATCTCTATTTTAGTATGAATATGTGTATGTATGTACTTTTTTATATCCCAAATTTTTTTTCTATCACAAATGATAGAACATCTACTCACTAATATTGTAATAGTAAAATGATATACAGTACAGCCTTTGATTCCAATTAACCACAATGAGGGAATAAACAAAGCTGGTACTGTGAGCTGGAGAGCTAACGGCAGGTGCTAACCCAGGAATGTCAAATGTGTCACAATGCTACAGAGGCTTAAAAGATCTTTACTATTTGTTTTCTCATTTATGTTTTGTAAGCTGTGGAATATGAGAGGGTGTAAATGACAAACTAAAGATGTATGTGGTAAACATTTTCAGAAAAGAAGGGCTTACCGGTTAGGTTTATGTGAAACCAAGCAAACTGGGTGAAAGAAGGAATGGGATGATCATATAAGCAGGAGTGAGAATATGAAGAGCGGAGAGAGTATGGCAATGAATGACTTCTCAGTTCAGGATGCATGTTTGGGAAATTCTAGTATGAAAGCATTAAGGAGACCATGAGGCATCCTTCCTTTGTATATTGTACACTGCTCTGAAGACTAACCAAGAAAACACAAGAGAAGCTAATGCAAGCATCCATCATCGTAACAGAAGAGACTACAAAGAACATGACAAGAACAATACAGACAGAAGGCCTGTCTGTAGAACAGTTCCTGTTTATACCAAACCAAACTCATTCATGTCTAATTTACACATGAAACAAGCCAAAGATTCCATGTCTTATTATGTTACCCAAGAATTTCTTCCATAAATTTACAAACCACATCCCAAAACCAATATTTACCAATGTCTTTTCACAATCTAAACTTATTCAGTTTGCATTCATTGTTTTGTATTAAATTTTTGTCAACAGAGTTAGCACCCTATTAATATTCGCCACATTGAAGCAAAACACCAATGATACGCTGCTGAAGTGGAGATAAGTCTGGAACCCCTCAGGAGAGAAATGTTTGAATGGGACATAAATAACTACCTTTTCTAATGGGTGATGAGATATCACATCAGTGACCAAGACCGGCTCCCTGGAGAAGGTCACTAGTTGGTCTAGGTGGACTTTGGTAAGCCTAACAGGCTTGCAGTTGCCAACTATTTGAACCCATAATATGAACAACAGCACAATATATACTGTACGAAGTGTACAAATACAAAGTACACTAACTTAATCAAAAACATGGTGAACCCAAACAACCCACCTAACTTAACTTAGTATAAAAAACATGGATTTTTGTAGGCTGCCATACTTTTCATAGAACAGCACTTTATAATTTGTATTTTGGGGACCATAACATACAAAATGAGACGTATTAGTTAAGATGACAAGAAGCAATTATCAGTGGCTGGCCTGAGACGAATTACAAAAAGAAACAGTGAAACACACACAAAGAAAATGAGATGCTTAAAATTGCAAAAATTCCATTCACTGTAAAATCAATGTGGAGTTGGAAGACAATACTGCACAGCATGTCAGAATACCAGGTGAAGCTGTATTTTAAGTAGAGCTGGAGAAAAGAACAATCAGTGGTAAAAGGTCTTCATTTTACTTCCTTTTATTGTAGTACAGTACTGTATTTCCACTGGCAACCGAGGCCAACTATTCTGCTACTCTAATTAATGAGAAACCCTTTCTGAACATACCGAGGCACATTACTAGATGGTTCCTGTTCCACGGGAGGATGCTGGCGGCTGACATAGCTGTGATCCATCATCAATGAAAACGCATTTACACCTGTAAGAACAAATTCGGCTTTATGCTTGCTAATTATATTGCTTTTAATTAAATAGTGCTAAAGGAGAACCAGTCAAACATGCTCTCACAGATTAACTAGATAAGGTT